TGCTGTGATATGCTCTTTGTGAAGCTGCCTTTGTGCTTGGTTTGGAAACTGAAGCTAGTGCAGAATACAAAAGCTACGGTGTTTACTGGATACCCAGCTATTCTTACAGCTTTCTGTTCAAGAAACTGCACTATTTGCCTATTAACCACTAAACTGTGTTCAAAGTTATGTTGTTGTCATATAAAGCCCTAAACAACTTAGGACCAAGATACCTAGCAGACTGTCTTTATTTATAGACCCTGTCAACATTTAAGGTCATTAGAGAAGGCCTTGCTGCCATTCCAAAATCAATGGAATAGTGATGATCTCAGCAGCAAGCCTTCTGGTAGCTTAGCCCATTTTCCTGTGCTGGTTGGGAGGCAGAAAATGTGGCCTGCTTCAAATACTTCCTGAAAATGTGGCTGTTTACTTAGGCTTTCCCTCTCTTGTACTTAATCCATCAATCATGCTGTTCCATCTTTTACTGCTAATGCATTGCTCTGTAATTGAAATTATTTTAATATTTTAACTATGATGTTTTTGTGTCCGTGAACTGTTTAGGGCTTTTATTAAATTCAGGCTAAGTACAAATATCACAAATAGATAAACTAATTTTTATGTGTGCTGTTTAGGATCAGAGCATTAGTTTCATTGATCTTGCTGATTTGTGGACTGCTGCAACCATAAATGTAGTCAGAGTACTTGGAGGAATGCAGAGTGTTATTTACTTTAAAGTTTATTTTTAATAGCTCAGTGAAAATGACTAAAAAATCATGCATAGTTTTTCCTAGTTTGTTGTATTGCTGAATTCTTTTGAATGATGAATTGAACATCAACAACTTACTAGACATAACATAATCCTGTTGAGCTTCTGTAGAATTAATAGCTTTCAGTGAAATTGTCTGAACTCTTAATTTCTGGCACTCATTACTTGGGATCAAAAGTCTAATGTGCTTTCAGTTTTAAATAATCCTATTCATGAGCTAGATGTTCTGGGATTCCAGCAATATTGGAATGGTATAGGAGAACCTGCTAAATATCAGCTTCCCCTGGTGTTTTAAGAGTGAAGGCAATTAGTTCTGCTTCTTTTCTGCTGTAGTAATGGTGCTATTGACAAAGGGCTTTACATATTTGGCAATGTTTCTGGATGTTAAAAAGTGACTGAAGAGTAGGCTTTCCATTTCCACCACCATGTTTCTTGGAATCATGAATGGCCATGCTGCTGAGTTACTGGCTTTGGTTAGTTCTTTAATCTGTGACTTGTTTTAGGCTTTGTCCAGTATAAAGACCACTACCTACATTGAGACTTTAATGCTCAAACTGCTTTAGAAAAGTCCTCTTAAGCACTAGGTGGCACAATGTTTTTAGTCCTGCAGACTGCATGTAATGTTTTTGGGGCTTCATAGGCACAAATAAACACATCCATACACATCCTGGTGTTCCTGGTAGAGATCACAAAGAGTGATCTCTGGTGGAGGAGTGGAAGCCTTTACCCCTATGATCATGATAATAAAACTCCCTGCTGCAATCAGTGAAGGAAAAATTATATTTATTCAATTTATATGCCACCCTATTAGCCATAGGCTCTCTGGGCAGTTCACCACACAATAAAATCCATATGGTACAATATTAGGATCATTGGGGGAGGGAATTCAGTGGCAGCTAGTTATGAAACATCTGGGGGCTGCAATTAAGGCATTGAGTGCTGCATATGGCCTCTGGGCCATAGGGCTTTGCACCCCTATATTAAAGAACTGTTTTTGAGATTGCAAACTGATTGTGTTATATCACCTCTAAAACACAGATGTCAAACAGAGGCTCTTAAACTGTTTTTTCTGATGGATATACTTGCGCTGGGTATTTCAGTATACCACTTAATAAACATTTTTGTTGTGCCAGCTTGAGTATATACATGGTTTACATTTCAACAGTGTTATTGCTACCATTCTTCTTCATGAGCAATGAATTATGAACATTATGGCCCGCCTGCCTGTGTCCTGTTAGCTTGTTTGATAATCTGGCCTGGTTAGCACAAGTATTTTTGGGAAAAGTAAATCAAGCACCAAGCCATGTACATATAATCTTGACTGTTCCATAACTTTCCAGTAGATCACATTGAGAACTTCTGGTTTGGAATTGGAAATTCTAAGCTACTAGATAAATATGTGAAATCTTAGTCAAACTTGTTTGGTATAGTGTTGGACTGAGAACCTGGGTGATCCAGGTTCCAGTTTCCATTCAAAGTGACTTTGGGCCAGTCACTTACTCTCAGCCCAACCTGCTTCAAAGGATTGTTATTCTGAGGATAAAATGGAGCTATGTATGCTACCCTTGGGTTCCTCAGAAGAGGGCAAAGTGCAGAATGTAAATTCAATATTATGATAATAACAACACAATTGGAAATAGAAGATTTGACATTCATATGTAAAGAATGCAAAAATGGAAGAAATAATGACTTTTCTGGAAATGTACACTTTTTGTATGACATGTAGGCTTTATTTATTTGTTGTTGTTGTTTTTAAGAATAAACTATTTTAGGCAATCAGTAGTACTGGCCCAGTTTATTAGGTTACATTACCTGTGCATATTTAAACTTAAAAAGTCATACCAGTCCCAGGATGACTGCTTGGGACACATTGGGAATTGCACAGTGTACATAGTACTGCATCTTTAACCGACTCTTGCCATCTCATTATTGGGCTCAGAGCAAACCAGACTGCACTGCACAATTGGGCAACTTGAGAATTACTGTAAATGTAGGTTTCAAATATTGCTTCCTTTTTTATAACAAGTATTGTACATGTTGGGAAACCTTTTGTTTCTAGACTTTCACATGTATCAAATACGAATTTGACAGGTTCCTCTCTTATAGACCCTTCTACAGGTTTCTTTCCCTAGCGAGATCAAGGTGGAGGTGGCAAGGAGAAGGGCCTTTTCTGTGGAGACCCCAGTAATAGAATGCTTTGTTACTGGAGATTGACCAAGTGCCTACATTATTGAGTTTTAGGCATCTGACAAAAATGTTCCTTTTTTGATGTACCTATGACACTACTTTACCTATTTATGTGACAGCACTGGTTTTAATTTTATAAAGATCATTTTATTGTTTTTATTTGTATGTATTCTGAGCCATCCCAAGATGCCAAGGCATCATGTGGTGATGGCATACAAAAGTTTTAAATAAAATAATAAATAAAATTAATTTAAATTTAATTAATGATGCAGTATTGGAGGAACATGGGTGCAGAGACTTACTTGCACCAGCAGTTGCACTTCCTTGAAATTTCTGGACTGTCTTCAAGGACAGTGCCATGTAGAGTGCTTTACAATAGTCCAATTGAGAGGTTACTGTGTCTAGGCCTTACTTGTCCAGGTAGGGCCACAGTTGGTAAATGAACTGCAACTGAAAGAAGGTGCTCCTGGCCACCGAGTTCACCTGTGACTTGGTTGATAATTCTGGATCCAGGAGCAACCCCAGGCTACAGATCCTGTCCATCCAAGACAAGTTGAAGATCCACCCTCTGGGCAGACAGACCATCCACCAACAGAACCTTTGTCTTATCTGGATCAAACCTCACTTTGTTGGCCCTCATCCATTCCAGTATTCAATTTATATGAAGGTAGGCCAAATTTCAGAAAAAGGGAGAAAAAATAGATCCATGGAAGGAAAGGATTTACCCAATAATTTATGCAGAACTAATCTTGATTATTTCTTCATAGTTCTACTTTAAAAGACTTAAGACATGCTGACTGGATTCATATATTAACTTTTAGAGGAAGACAATTTGGTGATAACAGGCATTCCTTTTATCTTTATCCAGAAAGTCATAGATTGAAACAGTTTTATGTTGTAAGAGCATTATACACATCAAATGATCTCAGAATAAGGTATCACCTTTTTGACTTCATCATTTTGGGATATTACATTTGATGAAATCATGCATGCCAGTAACCTATTGTAAGTAATCAGTAGGATTACTGAGGCTAAGCTTTCATGTCTTTAGGTTGCACTTCAGGAGAAATAGTAATAAGTCATGGGATTGAGCGTTCCCTCTTCCTTCTCCACACCCCACCCTTTCCTCCTCTTTTTGTGTATGTAGTTCAATACCTCTTGATCTAACCAAATTAGCAAAATGGCAGACTGGCAAAATGAGTTCCACAAAAAAAGATTGTGGTTTGCAATCTGCTTTGGACAGCTTACTGGAACTATAATTCACTGGTTTGTATAACCCATGTGTGCAGAAGTAATGTGGGGAAGTTGTTGGCAACAGGGAGCATTTGAGCCTATGGTTCATTTCTGCTCCTTCAGACCATAATTTGGAGGGTCATCTATATACAACTCTCTTCAGTGTGAATGAGAATTTTAATAAGATTTGTATAATGTATGCATTCACTGTTATAGAAAAGTGTGTCATGTATGGGAAAGTGTGTTGTGTAATCTAGTTACAGCAATACGCATGAGGAAGCAAGTTTATGCATGTACATGGGAAATCAAGAGCAGAAATTGATTGTATATACCTAGTTTTCAAGCCTAATCTAGCTGTCAAGGCTGTGTGAACATAGTCATTCTGAAAAATACAAAAATCCTGTTGATTAGTTGATCATTTCCCTTTCCCCTCCAAACAGAGAAAGGCACTACTTACCATGTGATAAAAGTATGGAATTAAATGTTCAGTTGCTTCACGCACTGCCATCTTATCTCTTTAGATCATGAAAATAAGGAAGATAAATAGTTATAGAAGATCAAAATAGGCTAGTTCTTAATATTAAGGAAGTCGTTTTTTCTGTAATTATTATAGACAAGGCCTTGTATTCTGCAATGAGATTACTATTGTCTGTGGTAAAATAAAATGAGCTGTATATTATAGTCTTTGCTTGGCAGTAGCTTTTTGTTCAGGAAAGTCATGTGAATGTTAGAAATGTGGTGGGGAATGAGTAAATTATACAATGATATCTGAAGAATACTACAAAAATAAAAGCAAATGTTGCATGTCTGAATTCGTTAACTATCTTCTTGACAGGTAGAACTCACTGGTAATAGCATTTACGAATACATCCATCCATCAGACCATGATGAAATGACAGCAGTTCTAACTGCTCACCAGCCTCTTCATCCTCATCTTTTACAAGGTACTTTTATAAGAAGTGATCATGTGCAAACTAAACACATTAATCTCATGTCCAGAATGCTGGACGAGAAGAACTTTGGTCAGATCTTGCATGGTGGTTCTTATGTCCTTAAGTCAAACATGGTTTTTGAATCTTCAGGAAGAAGTAGATAATTTAAGAGATTACAACAGTTTGCTTTTTAAAAATGCATTGTTGCCTTGTCTGTGGTTTTAATGACTTTTAATATTATTGTTCTGGTATTTAGTACTGTTCATGGTATCCCTCTGGTGATGGCTGCATCCATATGAATTGTGCTACTAATTTTAATAAAGGTTACACAGTGTCCAGCAGCAGGATATTTAAGAAATATTGTTTAAGAGTTTTGCCTGTTTTAATTTCTTTTGAGTGTCTAATTATTTGTATAGATGCCTATCAAGCCACATAGAAGTAAATTTTTGTGGGAAGCAAATGTCTGGGCATTAACAATTTAAGAGGAAGAAGTATTGTTAGTTCATGTATACCAGCCTCAGGGATTAGTGAGAGGGATTCCAAAAAAATAAGTAAATTGGAGTTTGGATGGGGAGCAGCAGCCTGCCCATTTAAAGTTAGATTTAATCTTCATTTGGCAAATTGTATCTCGGATACTTGGAATGTAGTTTGCTTTCTTAGAGTGGGATCTACCTGAGGAAGGGATCACAAATTAAACTATCACCAGGAAACTATCCCTCTGGGATAAATGTTGTTGTCAGCTTTTGTTTTGTCCCCAGGGATGCTCCAAATGAGGCTTTTTTGTTAGTTCCTCATTCATTGATGTTATTTATTTATTAACTCATTTCCATTTCTATGCCACTCCATAACACGAAGATTCTCTAGGTGGCTTATAATACTAGAACATAAAAACACAAATTACAGTAAAACAGTTATTAATCATATAAAAAGATAAAACAGTAAAATAATAGAGCACCTCAAATAAATTATACTCACACACACCAGTAAATGCAACCAACAAATTTTATCTTAATTAACCAAAATTAAGATAAATCCTTAACAAAATATAAAAGTATTAAATTAAATCTCATTTATTTAAATTTAAACTAGTTTAAATAAAGTTTTCACCTGGCTTCTAAAAGAAAGAAGAGTTCATTCCCTGGGGAGTGAATTCCATAGTCTAGGTGGTACTGCTGAGAAAACCCTCCTCCTAGCCCTGTCTCTTTTGATCTCACTAGGAGAGGACACATGGAGGAGGACATCCAAAGTTGACAGGTTGGAATATATGGAGAAAGGTGCTCCTTCAGGTACCCTGGTCCCAAGCCATTTAGGGCTTTATATGTCAAAGACAACACTTAGAATTGGGCCTGGACTGGAACAGCGAGCCAGTGCAGCCGATGGTGGACCAATGTAGTATGCTCTCGCCAGCCAGCCAGACCTTGTAAGCAACCGCACTGCCCTGTTCTGTGTTAGTTGTAAAGTGCATTACTATAGTCCAGGCAAGAGGTTTCCAGCACATGGGTCACTGTGCCAAGGCTCTGCTCATCCAAGTATGAGCATAACTGAGAAATCGGCCAAAGCTGATAGTGGAGAGGCTTATGCCATTCCTGTATTACATTGCTGCAGAGTCTAAATTTATGAACTGGAGAGACATATTTCTGTGAATTCAAAGTGAGTGTATAATATGTACTTCCTTCATACTTACTACTTTAGCAAGCTTTGTAACTAACTTGAAATTTTTAAGATGAATTTGGCTTCAATTCTGTGTACACTTGAAGTAACTGCCACTGAAGTCATTAGGACTTTCTTCCAGGTAAATATGCATGGGATTGCACTGTAAATTCTTGAGAGTGTGGTCTGTGTATATCACACACATGAGGCTGTGTGTCTGCATGGATCCTCATTTAGGAAGTTTTTATTATTGTTGAGGGATTTTTGGTGGGAATCATTCCCCCACTGTCTTAATATGCATGCCCATAATGGGTTCCCACTTGTTCTGTCAGTTCCTCATTGACTGCCACTGTGGTAGCCTCAGGAACAGTTTTTCTGCTCTTTCTGAGACAGCACTTACCTTTTTGTTGAAGATTCTCGTTTATTCCATTGCTTTTTCTGTCATTTCTTTCAAGTTGTTTTACTCTTTCTTCTCTTGTTCCTGATCAGCAGATTGTACTACTATGGCTGGAGTATATGGCCCTTTTGCAAATGCTTTAGGTATGGCAGCTTCCAACTGATAGGAACTCTCTTTGCCTTTTTGTTTGAGGAGAGCCATGCTGTAGATGCCAATCCACATTATTAGGCTTTCATAAAGCATGCCAGATGGAACCATGCCAGTTAGAAACATAAGAGCAGAACTTCAGAAGAAGGCTTTTGAGCACACAGAAATGTCAAAGCAAGATATGGTGCAGGCTCAGTCTCCTCCTTTCTTTGCTTCTGCAATTGTGTCCAAGTTTCTAGCAGCAACTGCTGATTTACCTTCTGCTCCAGCTCTAACCATGAGCCATACTGATCCCCTAATGCCAGGTAGTTCTTTGACATTGTTGATGGCAAACAAGTTGTTGAAAGAAGCCATATCCAATAGAAGGAGAGGAAGAGGACATGAAAGAAGTGTCTTCTCTCTGTTGCTACACTGTCTATGAAGTCTCTGCCTTCTTATTGGTGATTTCTGATTCCAAAGTTACCGTTGGCACCAGAGTAAGAAACTCTAGCATCCAGGTATGCCAACTGTTACCATCCAGAATGGCTGAGGTGCCATCGTCAGCACTGAGAGCTCTCTCACTTTTCCTGTTAGCAATGGGACCAATAATCAGAAAGATCCATGGCACCTAGATGTTCTTACTGTGGGGATGATTGGCACACTAGATTTGATTATGCTGCACCCAACAGCATTCAGCTGACTTTCCTTTGTATCAAGCGATGACTTCAGTGACATTGGGTAAGCTACATACAGGGGAGATTTTCATGATTCTGTCTCTGGCCCACTTCAAGTACTTTGGGATTATCACTGTCCGCTACTCTCCATCAGTAAGAGACACTCCGTCACCCTGGTACTGACAGTACCAATCCCATTATCATTAGTATCTCTAGCCATGACTTTGCAGGATGCCACGCCCACCACACTGATTACAAAGTTCTTGGCATCTTCCAGAAGAGTTAACAGTATCATGCTTAATGCCATCCTACCATTTTAGGGATTCAGTCCATGACACTGTCACCTGTGCTGCAGTTGGAAGTAAAATCCTTCCTATCTAAGGGTGATATAAGCTGTTCAATTTCACCAGCATCACCCATTTCACTTCTGGGACTTCATGGTACCAAAGATGAATGAAGACGACAATCTTATACCTGCAGGTCAACTTTATCATGACCAGAAGATTTAGGATGCTGTCAGGATTCTTTGTACAAGATTATCATATGGCGGGAAGTAGAAGGCCTTTACAGTACACCCCAGCACAGGAGTGGATTCAATTACTTGTTCATTATGTTATGTTCTTTCATTCCCTCTTTGGTTGTTTGAAAAAGCTTTGAAGTTGTCTTTTCTTTTGTCTTTTCTTTCTTTTTCATTCTGGCTATAGTCTCTGCCTCACATGCTTCAAATGGTCTGTAGTTTCTCCCCTTATCCAGCTTGACATTTTCTTTGGGTAGTCTGCAATTTGGCATTTCTTGTTCAACAGTTTGTGCCTCTGTGGAGCATTTTGGTTGTCTTGGAAGCTCTTACTGTGAAACCAAGTGCCAACTTGGTTATCTCTGTCAACATTTACCAAGCATTACCATCTTGATGTCTAAGCCAAGACAGGTTGTTTCTCTGGTCATGCCATTTTTTTTTCTTCTGTTCTACATTGACTTCACACCTGCTTCTTAAGTGAGCTTGCTACTAGCCCATATGTGCGATGTACAGAGACCATCATGAAAAAGACAGGTTGCTTACTTATAACCGTTCTTCAAGTGGCCATCTTTGTATTCACACAACCCATGTACTGTCCCCATCTCAATGTCATGTCAAGTTTGGTATATGTACCAAGATGGGTTGTGCTACACCCTTGATTGTTTACATTGGTTACTGATGCTGATACCAAGATTATCTCTTGGTACTTAGACCACAAAAGACAGTCTAAGGGAAACTAAGGGATAAGTGGGAATCTGCTAAGGACACATGCACTAGATGGCATGGGAACAGTTCTTGCCAGAAATTCCTTAGGTATAGATGCTTTCCAAATGAGGCTCCATGCAAAGGCAGAGCCTCTATATGTGGATATATAGATGACCACTGGAAGAACTAGAGGTAGAGGTAAGCAACTTGTCTTTGCTTGTAGAATCCAATCACATGGGGGGATTCTGATGCTAGAGTGACAGCAACAAGTACCAGTAAAAGGAAATCATACAGATTTTAATCTGTTACCTATTCATCTAACTGATTCTCACAAAATTAATCATACAAATACTGGTCACTGTACTAAGTAGGAAGATTTTCATTAATTCTTGCTTACATAAACACATACAGCTGAGAGCATCCTCATTTTCTTGCATTATTTTTATTTAAAAATAAAACTATCCTTCAAATTATACATGTAGGAAAAATGCACACTAATCAAAACCTTAGTGCTGCCTCCTCTTAATATATTTAAGCACCATGAAAGCTTTTCAGTGCTGTAATATTATTATACTATATCAAACTGGCAAAAGAAGTATTGTGAAAAATCTTGAAATTTGGTTTTTGTTTTCAGAATATGAAATAGAGAGATCTTTTTTTCTGCGAATGAAGTGCGTCTTGGCCAAGCGGAATGCAGGATTAACATGTAGCGGTTACAAGGTAAAAATGCTCAGATTTTGACATCTTCACAGAATAATGTTGATTTAACAAGCTCACTTCAGGCAAATGTTTATTCTGCAATGTTATGGCTATAAGCTTATTGATAGAAGACCTAAGCTAAATTGATTATGGAGGGGAGGATGTTAAAGCCCCCCTCTCTTGCTGGTGATATGTGATGGGTTGTGAAACATGATCATTCATTCCTTCATTTAGGAAGTATTCAGGAAACCCTTATTCTTATTTAACTTCATGATACCATAAGTGACATCATCATGCCTCTTACAATTGCTTGGGATTAACTGAGGAACAATCCCATAGGAGGTGCATCTGATAAGTGTGTGCAAAAAAGAGCTTTGGGTATGACTGTGTATGAAACTACCTCCTGCCTTGCCTATAAACGTTCCCAAGTGAAAATCAATGCAACAGCAATTAATAATGTCTGTAATTACACTGGCATCCCAGTTATGGAGCATACTGCCCAGGAAAGTTGGCTGTTACCCTCCTTACTAGCTTTTTTATGAGTCCAGTGATTTTTTTCCTTTAAATGTCTATGAGTTTTTTAAGTTGGCTGTTTTATCATTTAACTCTTTCCATGTTTATCCCTGAGAAGAAAAGAGATCATAGCTCAATGGTAGATTGCAGGTTAGAATACAGGCATTCTCATGTTTCATCCCTGCTATCTTCGAGTGAAAGAGCAGGTAGCAGGTTATGGGAAAGACTTCTACCACAATCCCAAGAGTAGGATAATTCCAGGCATTACTCTACTCCAAATGGCCCCCACCCCGGTATTGAAAATTGAGATATACATTAAAATGGCATCACAAGCTGCTATTGAGCACAAAGAGATGAGCCATGTTACTCAGTTCAATAGTGTTTACTGCTTAGTTCAACTCAAAATTAACTCAGGCACTTACTTTTGAGGAAATATGCATACAATCAAGTAGAGGGCACATTGTACTAAATGTATGTGAGAGGAAAGGGGATTGTTTACCCTCTTCTCATGTGAGTTCAGCATGACTTATGTATGTGCATAGTCCATTTTCACAACAAGAAACCCCAGGAAAAGCAAAGTTTCCAGTTGTGGGTAAAGATCCTACATGCAAAGATCTTTCACAGTTTATGTTATATACAAGAGAAGGGAAGAAAGAGAGCAACAAATCCATTCCTGTTCTACCTTGTCTCTCTGTATACCTTCCTCATGTAGCACTCATCTCTAATTCCCTTCTCCAGCTGATACATAACCTGTCCATGGTGACACTTAACTACAAACTAACATAGAACAATGTGGGATTAGCCCTTTAACACACACACAGAATTCTTTAGATGTGAGTTTGATTTAAAAGATCTTATTAAACATGCACGCACACACATTTTATGCTAGAAAATGTTTGAATTTTAAATTGAATCAGTATGTGCTGTAGTGCTGATCTAAATTGTTCTCAATTTGTTAGAAAATATATTAGGAGTCTCAACATGAAATACATATATCTAGGTAGATCCAAGATCTTTTAAATCTTGGATCTTTTAAGTTTAATGCCAAATAAATGGTCATACTGACTTAATTTACGAGACATGCTGGGGCTGACCAAAGGTTATTTAAGCCACGATGAGCTTCAATTTGAATATACATCTCTTGATTAGGAGTTATGCCATGTGGAACCTGGCCATTAGGGTTTATATGACACAGCCCTTTCTTAACCTTACAACAGGTAGGGAAGGTTTGAGTGTCATAGCAACATCGGTGGTCACCACAGACTGTGGTTCATTGCTAATTAAATAACCCACAAAAAGCTGTCATGACCAGCCCACTGTGTCATCATCCAGTACATGCCATATTTCATCCTTTCTAACAAATTAGTCAGTCACTTGTAATCTGTTATCCTGACAGACTACTGAGCAAAAAAAGTTATTATCCCATGGTATGTGCTTTTTGGTAAACAATATTGTGAAAAGGTAATCTTGAAGTCTCTTCTTACTCCACAAATTTACTTCTCCCTCATACCATATTAGGTGATCCACTGCAGTGGCTATTTGAAGATACGACAGTACATGTTGGATATGTCTTTGTATGATACCTGTTATCAAATTGTGGGACTGGTCGCTGTAGGTCAATCATTACCTCCCAGTGCAATCACTGAGATCAAGCTTCATAGTAATATGTTTATGTTCAGAGCAAGCCTGGACTTAAAACTAATATTCCTAGATTCCAGGTAAGTAAAACATTATTTGAAAATGTTCTTTATATGCTTGTGGAAACTTGCAAACAATCATTTTAAAATATAGAAAGAATGATGGCATAATGCCAATTCTACAAAACAGCAGTAATGTTTTCTTTGAATTGTTATATGAAAATTAAGCCTTGCTGTAAATCATAAGGATTTTATTTTTTTAACATCTAATCATTCTTTATGGAGGGGATTGAGAGTTAGCTCTTAACTCCTGTAACTTGAGCAAGAAGTAAAGTGAGCCTTCAATCATCTATCTTTAATATTAGAATATTTTTATTCTTTTGGATCTAACTGCCCTGGCTGAAATTGAGTTAGCTGCTTTAAGTTGTTTTTTAAAAAAGAAAAAGGGTGCTATATAGTTCTAATACATAAATAAGTAAATTACCAGAATTACTGGAAGAACAGGGTTGATCTTTTTTAAAGATTTGACATTGTTCTGATTATGTGAAGTAAAGCTGGAGGAGAACTCTATAGCCAAATTTACAAACAAGGGAAAAGTCTAGTTCAGAAGTAAGTCTTTGGCAAAGCTTTTCATACACAAATTAGGGCTCTGAAGTTCTTGTTTTGTTTTAATAGCAAAACTGTTCACATCATTCTCTCTTACAGTTTCAGTTTGAAGGATTGGGCTGCAACTTTGTTGGTATTGGTAGCGTACCATAATATGGGAATGCCAGTTTAAATAGCCTTTTGTAAGAGGCAATGTTTAACATTGGCTTGAGTTCTAATGCAAAGTAGGCCTCTGTAATTAAATTGCTAGAATGAATTCCAGTAGACATAATAGAACAAGGAGGTCTTCATTGGCACTGAACTCACTGTAAACTGTACTCATAATCCAGCACTAAAATATTGAATGTAAAAAATTAGCTGCAGGTGCCCAAAGTCATACAGGTTTATTTGTTTCTGGTGGAGTCTTCTTTTTTCTTTTGGTTAGGTAAACAGTACAAGGTATATATTTTTTATGCATGGCTTGGTTTTACCTTTTCAGGGTTAAATGCAATAAGGCTTTATATTACTCTTAGTTAAGTGAATTTAGCATCAGTTACTGAATTTAAAAATAATGAAGGAAGGTCATTGGACAGAAAAGATGGAAGGGTCTGGCAGATACATTAATAGATTACAGGGTCAGAACATTTAAAATGTTCAAACAAATTTGCCCTCATAAATATTTCTGATACCACAATCCTGTGCTGGCTTGGAGAGAAAACAAGCTCCCAGCACACCCAAGCCATCCATTTAAACTTGTGCTCTAAATATCCTCTACAAATTGTTAGCTATTTGGTATCTGCATGAAAGTGAACTAGTGCTAAGAACATTTACTGATTCTTACTTTCAGTATATTTTAAATATACAGTTGATATGCAGTTGTTTTTAGTATTGAACAGTTGATACTAGTTATACAAGGTAAAGTTTTCTGTAATCACAATCTGAAATAATGAACTGAAAAGGAAACACGCTAATTGCAAATCTAGCAGTTCTTTGGTTGTATGCTGCAGCAAGCGTGAGAGACTGAAGGAAACCTATGCTTTTTGGTGTGAGAATTTTGCTCACAGGTGACTTTTGTTTGTTCAAGAAAGCAATGTATTTTGGTAGATTTGTACAGAATGCATTTATTTTAAACAAATAAATAGGCCTGCCTTCACCTGACTAGAATAGCCTTTAAATATAGTAAAGCCTTCAAGCAAATATAGATAGCCACCTGAGTTCGTCACATTGCACCTGTCCTGTGTGAATGAAACCACTCCCACTAGCATCCCTAGGCATGGTCCCAATCACAGTGCATCCTGATAATATCCTCTGGGAAAAGTCTGTCCATTCCATTCCTTCAGGAACCGTTTTATGGATTAAATGCCCCCACTACTTGGAACTGAAGTGAAAGTCCTGCTATCCCAATATGTAGCCCTCCCAACCTTTACACTAAACTGTATTCTGTCAAATTCTGCCAAATACTCTGAATCAGGCACCTACTATCCACTATGCAAAGTGCTAATATTTCAGCCATCTCCAAACCTGGAGAAGACCTCAGATTCTGTGTGAATTATTGACTGATCTGCCTGATCAATGTAAATGCCACGATCTTCACTGTAGTGCTAGTCAACAATGTTTAAGAAATATTAGCAACAATAATCCATCCTGACCAAGCAGGTTTTATATGTACCAGGCAGGGTGTAGAATATGTGAAGCTGCTTATTCAATGCCACCAAGAAACACCATAGCTGCCATCCTGTCGCTAGATGCCAAAACAACAACAACCTTTAATAAAATATATTGGCCATTTATCACCACCACTTTCACAATCTGGCTTTCCTCAAGAATTTCTGATCTGGTTGAAGATCCTTTATCTTTATTCAAGGTGACAAGTTTTGCACAGATTGTAAGCCCATCCTTTATGCAGATGACACATTATTGTTTATTAGTGACCCTGAAAACTCCATACCAGAACTCATCAGCTTAATAGACTCATTTTGATCAATATCAGGATATATGATTAATTGGCCAAGTTAAAAATTATGCCCCTGCTGTTTTCCAGTTGGCAGTTTAAACAATTCCCCAGTTCATCAGCTTATCTGGGAATAGAATTCCCCAAAGACTATGAATTCCTCTCCTTCCTCGATTTACAGAGGACATTTCAACTTCCCCAAAATACACAGTGGCAACATCATATAAAACATTTGTTCCATCCCCCTATATGGCCCAGCAATATTCACTGCTTGGGAATCCCCAGCATTAGTTTTACGAAGTTTTACAAAGACAACCAAGCCAACAATAGTTGGACTAGTTTTACAAAGTTGGACTAGTTTTACAAAGACAACCAAGCCAACAATTCATACTTATAAAAGACTCAGAACATACAGCCAGTTTGACATACAGACACTCACAAGAGTGGAGTGGGAACCTAGAATGCCATGTCCAACCACAGCAGTGGAAAATAGCTACATTCTCCATACAGTCCATATCCCCTCACCTGAAACTGCACCTTATACAGCAAAAGCTGCTCTTTTAAGCATATTGTACCCCATAGCACATGTTTCAGAAAAAAATTCACCCTTTAATAAAGGTTGGCAATGTGGGACAGCAGAAGCATCATTAATCCACATGATATAGAAATGTCCAGGGGTGCTAAATACGTTAGTCTTGTTTAAAGATGATAATGTATTGCTGAATTACATTCCCACATCCTGGAAGCCATCCTCAGGCCACCTCAAGTGGACTATATGAGTCCCCATGGTGGCTAAGAGACTCATACCACAGGGATGAAAAGACAAATCATCTCCCTCAACCATGCATTGGACTGAAGACCTCACAACATTGGCATCCTAGGAGAGAATATGCTATCAGTGGCAACTTTGTCTCAACACTCATTCTGACATTTGGTTAACCTATCTCATCCCATTTTGATGTTGAACAGAAACTTTGAATATTTGTGTGTGTGTATGTGAGCATATATACATGTACAGTGGTACCTTGGCTCACGAATGCTTCGGTTCACAAACAAATCAGGTCACGAACAAAAATTTCTGAAAAATTTTGACTTGGGTTGTGAACCCCACTTTTGTTGGCGACCAAGATCGCAACCATCTCCCCCCCGCCCCCGAGTGGGGAGATGGCCATGATTGCAGTTGCTTTCGTGCAGGGAAGGCATGCATGGTCAGAGGCACGCTGCTGCAGGAAAGACAGGAGCAGCAAAGCAGAGCCACAGGGGAGATTGCTGAGATTCTGCCTGTCTTTCCTGCAGGAGCACACCTCTGATCAGGTACGCCTTCCCTGCATGAACGGAACTGCGATCGTGGCCATCTCCCCCCCTCCCCCAACCAGCACGATAGCGGTCACCTCCACCCCACCCCTGAGTGGGGAGATGGCTGCGATCGTGCTGGGGGCGGGGGGGGGGGAGATGGCCGAGATGATGGGCGCCTGCAGGGATGACGGGCGCATGCCAGGATGACATGCGCGATCTCAGTCGTGCTTGGGGGGGCGGGGATATTGCCATGCTTGTGCTTGGGGTGGTCGGGGGGAGATGGCCATGATCTTTGTTGTTGTCACTTTGCTTCACATTTTTCTGATTTAAAAAATGGTTACAGAATGGATTAACCTTATTTACATCAAACCGTATGGGGAAATTTAATTTGGCTCACCACCAATTTGAGTCACTACCAGAGTCCTGGAACAGATTAAGTTCGTGAGCCAAGGTACCACTGTATATTATTAGTAATACTTTCAAGACCAGTTCACTGTATCTGTGATCATTACTGTGTGGCTATCAAGTTTTTTTGTTTTGTTTTTTTTGCTAATGTTTGGTCTTGTTGAAAGACAGCAAAAATCAAATAAAAGTTATAAATATTTTAAAAACTATGAACCGCAAAGCTATTTGTTAGGTCTGCCACCTAGTGAACTAAGGTGGTACTTCAACCACACAAAAGCATTAACTTTAAACTCAATCCAAATTAAGAAACAAATAATGTTGGGGCACACACCCTTATCACCACCTTGCTATGTATACCACGTTTCAAGTATTTAGGATTCATGACCTTAGGACTGTGCGGCTAATGAACATACATACTCTTTTATTATGATAGGTTGTCACTACTGTAAGACTTTTAGGGAAGAATTGAAAAGTTTAGTGTGCATGTGTGGAATTGAAATGCTCATGGGGATTTGGACATATGAGTATCCTTGATACTTCTTCTCATTAATAAAAAAGTGAATGCATGGAGCTAAAATTCTATTTCCAAGTATGGTAATGTATCTTTTATGTTCAATTTCTGAAAAATACATAAAAGTACATTAAAGTCTGCTGCCTTCGTGACTAAACAACAAATTCCTGATGACAGAAGTAGAGGAAAATTTTTACACCTAGCAATATTTGGCTTCCGTCTCTCTGTTAACTTATTTCCTCTTATATTACAAGCAAGGGAAAATTCATTCAAAATAATGCCTTTTAGATAGTAAAGTATTATGCTTTTGAATAAAATGCCCTTCTTTCAAACAAAAATGAAAATGTTAAAAATACATACAAGAAAACAAAGTTTATTAGTAGTTTCTTGGTGAGCTTTAATTGAATTTGCTTCATACAAAATCAGTAAAAAGCTTTGGGGCCCTGTCCATTGTAGTCTATAATTGAGGGATAAACAAATAACCCTTTATGACAGTTGGAAGTCATAATTACACATCAATGGTAAATAACTTCGACCGGTCAAATATTTAGGTAGCAAACAAGATGTATTAAACATGCTGATGCCTAGAGAATGTGAACTTTATTTAAAGGGAAGTTATGATTAAGTAGCTTTGGCTTGCAGCAGGACCAACTATATGATCACATAGAGCCTGCAGACAAGATTCCACCAGCATGCCTTTAATATCTTCAGTTCAGCTTTCTTTGTGCTGCAGTTTTTACTCTTTAATTCCAATATTCTTCCATCCATTTTAGGGGTGCTATTGCTATTTGTTGTATACTCTCCTACATGTGCCAAAGATATTTAATATATTTTAAACTGTCTTCATTATTATCACTGCTATTTCTATATCACCCAATAGCCTAAGTTGTTGCAGATTTATATACTCTTTATAGACCTCAGAGACATTAACCCCCATAAATCCCCCACTGCAATTATCAGCAGCAAAGAAACAGATCTTTATTTGCTTTATTTATTTATTTTCTTGAGTAGCTTACTGTGTCCATAAAGGAAGTATTCAAGACACTAACAGCTTTGAGTGAAAAAGTGACTGCATGCCATGTGGTATATATAAGAAATAGACAAAGAAGTAGCATTAATGCATCTGGATCAGGATGTAATTCATTGTTTTGTTAGTATCATAAAGAAGGAACAGGTGTCTTATCTGAACCATTAGTATGACTTGAATAACTCTGCTCTTGTGGAGGCCTTTTTCTTCCTCGCTCTGTACCCTTTTAGGTTCCTAAGATTGCCCCTCAAATAGGTAAGAGCACAAGCTGGTCAGACCATGGATACATCTAGTTCAGTGTTATTTTCATACAGTGGCCAGCTACTTGGCTGTAGGAAATTAGCAATATTCTATTCATGTTTCCCCATAACTGGTATACATAGATATACTTTCTCTGCTAATGGGGTCTGCATATAGCTATCATGAACACGAGACATTGATAGTCACCTTTTTAGTTGTTTGTCAGTAGCCATCATATTTTTAGTAATTAATGCCATAGATTACTGTGCATCATTTGAAAAATTTCCCAGTTTCCTACTAGTCATAGGATGCTTCATAGGATGCTTCCCACTTCTAATGTTACGAGGAAGGGAGAACAATGTTTTCTATCCACCATCTCTGCCCCATGCTTAATTTAGTACCCCTCTGTCTTATCTTGCTTTACTCACTTTTTTTGCAAGCTAAACAATCTCACTCATAATGTTTCCTTGTAGAGAACTGTAGCCTGGATATCAGTAGTTCCTTATCCCTGTCAAGAATCCTGCCTCTGCGATTTAACCTATGATTAATTCTGGCTGTTAGCAAGCTTTCATTCCAGTCACACTAGCCAGGAGATATAGTTGGCCTACAGGTATCTAACACAAAGAAACAGACACTAAGGATGTCCTTTCCTTGCCTGTTCACAAAAAGTGAGAATCATTATTATTGATTTCTCATGTAGAGAATCAGTAGTTTCTTTGCAAATCAGTAGTTTGTCCTGCAGAACAAATGTGAGGACAATAATTTCTTGAAGTCGAAATCCTGCATAACATTGTAATGAACAAAATGAAAAATAAATTAACTCTAAAGATTTTCAGACTTGATATCAGGAAAAGATAAACATTCATTTAATACTATTGAATATTTCTAATATTACTGCTTATTAGGTATATTTTTTTCTTTTAGAGTCACTGAATTAACTGGCTATGAACCACAGGACCTGATTGAGAAAACTCTCTACCATCATGTGCATGCATGTGATGTGTTTCATTTACGATACGCTCACCATCTCTGTAAGTTGTGTGTGTGTGTGGGGGGGAATCAAATGATACACTAGTAATATATGGTGGCACATGTATATTTTCTACTAATGCTTTGAGCAAGGGCAAGCACTAGGAAACCTGAGACTCCAGAATTCAGCTTTCACTAGTTATACTTGTGTTCATTGTACTGTTCATTTTATTGTTGTTTTAATATGGTTAGACATGTTGAGTTTTCACTGGGAAAGATGGAATAACATGAAGAAATTAAAGAATGAAATATGGATAAATGCATTTTTGGTGGACATGTCAATAAGTGAAGTACAGCATTTAAGAAAACCAAACTGAGTCAACAAGAGGGAATTAGGTGGGAATATAAGACATGCTTGATCGACAGATAAAGAAGTATTAAATAGAGTTAGGCAGGATAGCTGGTAATCCAAATGCTGCTGACTGCTAGCATAAGGCTGAGGGAAAAGTTACAGGAGTGTCTGATATGCTTATACTGTATCTGTGTTTTCTTGCCAAGATTGAGTATGACAGACATCAAGCTTACTGTTTTCTAGCCAAGTGGCTAGATGTATTAATACTTATCAAATACAAAGATGGGTTTGATACTTTCTGAAACTGAACTACTTTGTTACTACTTGAAAAACAGATAGATACATGCTATTTGGTGAAGTGCTATAATAGAGATAGTCTGCTTTAACTTTGAATATTGCAGAACTAAGTATGACAACAGAAAGAGATATTTAAACCAGTTTTCTAAATGGAATGAGGGTGGGGTGTTCAGACAACTTAAAATACAAACACAAGTGATAGATGAAGAAAACACTAGAAATGCTATATTACGTTAAAATATATACTGGAAAAGGCAACATAAATGAAACAAAGGCAGTAAGAGAGATATTGCATATGTGAATAGTAGAGGACAAAGTTTTAACAGTAGCCTATTACAAGACTTGGAAAACAGAATAAACAAACTGTTCTATTTCCAGGGTTTTGTTACTACACTTCCCATTTATCAATGTAACTAACACAAATACTAAACACTTGGCAGTCTGAATACATGCTGCATAGGCTGGTGATGGTTGACAAAATCCGGTGAGGTGCTTACACCTCTACTCTTTTGCCCTGCCATTTGCATTTGCAAGTGGTCTCCACCACTTGCACAATACAGATTTAGTGCTTCTAGGGCATCCCAAAATGAGCAACAGTGCTCATTTCTGGATGGAGGAATGTCAGTGGAGCTCACATAAGGAAAGGACTAATTTTTTATGTGGATGAAGGGTTTCACTTGCAGGACAGAACTGGTGGGGCAGAAAGGAATCAACCCCTTGGATTCTATCCTGTGTGACATTTTGACATTGACATATAGAGAGGAAGGTCTTATAGTGTACAGAAGGAAAGTGTGATAAAATAAGCTCTCCATAAAACCAGGATTTTACTTTGGCAAAGGTTAGAGGATAGAGGTAGCGTTAGGGATTTTCTACAGGTTGAATGTACGTTATGCAATTTGTTGAGCACCTAACATCTCTGCATTGGACATAGTGTCAGTACTAGTAAGAAGCAACTAAAAGTGTTGTCTTTACAGGCTTGTCCTGCTAGGCATTGTTCCTATTAAAATAGTGTGAGTTAGCTGTCGCTTTAGTTGATAATCAAAAGAAACTGCATTGATTATTTACAGGAAGAAGTTATGTGGCCAAATAATGTATAAAATAAAGTGTAACATGAAAGTCCTGACATCAGACAAAAATTCCTACTATTACAGCTCAGAATGAGTACGTGTGTACCAGTATTTTCATTTAGTCTTACAGCTGCTATGCACCACTGCAGCAGTGTTGGACCAGCTAGAATAATATGCCCCTGTTGGATCTGCAGGGATGCCTCAAAATTTATTGAGCTTATGGTTGGTTTGGCTGGCTCTCTTGGGGCAGTCCTAGTAATTTTTTGAGTGTCCGCTCCACATAAGTGGGGCATGCTAACTCTATTGATGAAAAAGGGAGCTAGATACATTTAAATAGTTTGGATGATTATTACTAGAATATCTACAGGAAAACTCAGGAGGAATCCAACTGAGCACAGATTAACATCCAGATAAAAGGGTCCTAGTGTTAGCAATTAGAAGTCATTGTTCTAGGTCCTAGTATTAGTAAACAGCTATTCTATCCTTTTTCCTTAATGAAGGGTTTTTTTTTGGTGGATGAAAGATGGAGAAACAGTTGAACAGAAAAAAAAGATTGTCATCTGGATACCTCATAAAATGTTGTGAATGAATCAAGGTGATGGCAGGATAAAAGCCTCATCTGGAAGCATCCTAAGAATGTATTCCAGACCTGTAGTGTTCTGGGGAAGTAATGGCAGTGAAGAAACATCCATACTATCCTCTCTCTACCAGAAGCAGGAATACTAAGAGTTTTTGTGGAATTTGTGAGACCTGGGAGGGTGTATCATAGGGTGCATCCATGAAGAATGCTATTTATTTTTCTGGCACTGCCACTGTATGTGCTACATCCCTCATTCTCCTTGATCCATTACACTTTCTGTGACTTTGGTACTACTGAGCAGAAGGTAAAGATGTTTAAACTGTCTTTTATCCAGTATAACTCCCTAGCATTTATACCCATACTTGTGATTTTTTTTCAGGTTTCCTGTCTACAGACATCTCTGATGTATATTGTTTTCATGCAGATTTCCTTCCAAAACTATAATCCGCTAGTAATGATTATCTGGACTAAGAGGCCATTTCTTTCAGTTCTTATCAGTTCAAATACAAAATTTCTTGCACAGTATTCTTTCTTGGAAGTTCAATTATGGGGTTGAATTTTACTTGTTTCTCTTTTTAAAGCACAGTGATATGGTCTGAATAGACATGATGTGGAGTAAGAGAAGTAGAACTAAGTCAGTGTGTAGACAGCTGGAAATCTTATATACACCACCTGATGTTCTTCAGAGGAAAGGTGGAATGCAAACGTAATTAGATCATTTTCACATTCTATTTTATAGTGCTGGTGAAAGGACAAGTCACAACCAAGTATTATCGGTTGCTGTCAAAGAATGGTGGCTGGGTTTGGGTCCAGAGCTATGCCACCATTGTGCACAACAGCCGCTCATCAAGACCTCACTGCATAGTGAGTGTCAATTATGTCCTAACGTAAGTTTTATTCCCTCCCCCCATTGTATGTTGAATTCATTTTGCCTGCTGATGGAGCATATAACTGTTCCCATTTATTCCATCTTCGTTGCTTAAAAAGGTTGATCTCTAAGAATACACTTGTTGTTGTGCTTTATAATATGGTATCCACTGTTAATAAAGTTGCTGACTTTCTCTAGAAAGCGACCCACAGAAAATTGTGGTGTCTTTGTTATGGCCAATGTAAGGATGAAGTTCACTTGGGGGTCTCAACCCTTCATTGAAGACCTGTTTTATATATCCAAGAATGATTAAGTTTCAAGTTACTTTACAGTGGAGTTCCTGTAGCATTAAGAAAAATATATGCCGTTTTCATTATTGTTTTTGCAAAATTTGGCCTTATATGCATGGTCTGCAGGGGGTTTTAGGCAGGATCATTTTGCTTTGTCAGTTTCCTCACCTTTGGCTAGCCTTGCTCGACAGGCTTGTTTGTTTGTAAGAGGGACCATAACAATAATTGCCAAATACTGTGGGAGTCTCTGGCACTTGCTGTATTCCTGAACAGCTCACTTGGTTGTGAGGGTTAGATGTGGATTGCATCTTTGCAGTGGTTATACTGGCATTGTGTTGCATCCAAAGTCTGAGGCTATCAGGCAAGAAGCTCTTTAACCGGGAGAGGTGAAGTTTTGAAAATCAGAAATCCTGTAAAGTTGCCTTTGACCTTTTTGCATGTTCCATACAAACGGAGAATGGTAATGCTGTTAGGGTGAATGGTCACTTTATTAGTCTTTGTGCCTTGGTAAAACCCAGGCCCTGTTTTCTTCTGGAGTTCGTCTTGATTCAGCAAGTCACATAATTGTGAGCTCAAACAAATCTAACCTCAGTTACAGTGTGAGGTAACTATACCTTCACAACAGAGAAGTGGTGGAATACTCTCAAATTTGACATTGTTAGCCATTGGCAGGTATCAGTTACTCAACTATAAGCCCATGATAAATTGGGGTGTCTATCCAAACACAGTTTATATATTGCAGATCATTCTTACACTGACAGTTGAACAAAAAGTTCCATTCGGAATGGTAAAAGTACAACTAATAGACAAATCTTAATTTAATGGAAGATGTTCAAATTACTATTTCGTGACAGTAAGTATGAACTTTGAGTGTTGAATTAAACTTTAAATAAATCTAACATAATGGCTATCAACATATTTCAAGGAACCCCCTTTCTCTTGTGGGCTCAAAAGACTTAATTTTAATATTTACTGACTATGGCTTGTTTGCTAATATCCTTAAAGCTACATTTATGTAGCAGGGGCTCATACAGAGGAGAAGAAAAGAACTTGGGCTGAGAACAATTCCTCTGTTGCAATGTTGTTGTTGTTTTGCAGAGATATAGAATATAAGGAACTTCCGTTATCCCTGGACCAGGTCACCATTTCTAAATCACAGTTTTCATGCAGAAACCCCGTGTCTACCTCACAAGAAACAAGAAAAGCCACAAAACCTAGAAATAATAAAATGAAAACAAAACTCAGAACAACTCCTTATCCACAGCAGGTAAAACATTTTTCTTCAGAGATTTCATGCTGAAACAATGATACAACCTCTATGTAACAGTAGCTTTGTGGCCTATGAAAAGTCACTAGAATTTCTTTGAAATTTAAAACATGAAATTCTTTTCATTTTACAGCCGAATCCTAAGGATTCATAAGGATCAGTATTGATTCTCGTTGCTTTACTGTAGTAATATAAATTGTGTCATTGCACTGAAGATTCCGATCAATCTAGGAAATTGCACTGATACAGCCTTCCCTGGCCTCCCAGTATTTTAGACTACAATCACAGCATTCTTGACCAACAACAATACTGGCTGGGGTGGACAAGAATTGAAGTCCAACCTCCCTGGACAGATCATGTTGGAGAAGGGTGCATTGATGCAGCAGTATGTTGCACTATGAACAACAACCCTTCCACCAAATGTCCTAGCAATGGTTTGAAAAATACACAAATGGACAGAAAGAAGACAAGATGTGGTCAATTATACAAATGACTCCTTTTTTGTTTGTCATTTTAATTGCTACATTACATGTCTTGTGTAGTATACTAACATGCAGTCATTTGATTTAAATAAAGTGGCATATGTGTTTGGGCATGCTATACTTAAGATGGCTGTTTAAGCATATAAGTCTCTGTTCAGGTCCAGTCAGTGTTCGAAAATAAAAGTGAAGAAAATCAGCAAACAAAAGTTTGAGCAGATAAACTTGCAAACATTTGGAAAACAGTAAACTAAAAAAATGAGCAGCTTACCAGAGGTAGGATTGACAACTAGTTTTAATCTATAGCCAGGTATATATGTGTCAGTTCACTGGGAAACAAGAAGCAAAACCAAGCTGTGGTACTATCCCTATTCGACATCCCTTTTGCAGGGATATCTGTATGCAACAACCCCAAATGTTTCTGTGTCTATAATATTATCCAATAAAAGCCCATCATTTCCTCCTGCTCTGTCAGGTCCTGATAAGAAATAGTACTTTTCAAACCTGCTGATGATAAACTAATTGCAAGTAGAGCTCACTTTAGAATGAAAGCGTGGTTGGTTATATCATTTCCCTTTGTAATTTCTGTCATTCCTAGTTAAAACAGGGTGCTTTAGATTAGATACTTAACAGTTAGGTTACACCAGAAATAAAAAATAGGAATTATAACAACTGCACCTTTGAACATTGCTTAAGCAGTTGTACTGACTCAGTAAAACAAAAACAATATATCTGAGAAACAGTGCCCTGAAGTCCCTGAATTTTCCATGCAGCCTCCCGATTTTATATGCATGAATTTGTGATAGGGCTCAGCCCCAGAATCTATTATCAGTGTCAGAATTAAGCGGAACAGCTGAAATAATAAAAATTGTCTTTGCCCATGTGCAGAAAGCTCCAAACACCCAGCTGGGGAATTACTGCTTGCCCTGCAAACAGGGATAAGGAACAGAACGTTAAGGGCAAATGGCAGGGGTCCCAGAAAGTTCTGAGCTTTAGTCCCTTGCTTTAGAAACTAAATACTGCCAACTCCTCTTAGTTTATATGAACTAGTTCAAGGTGGTACTTGGCTGCAGTGCATGCTGTTAGTCTGTTATACTGACAGATTTCAGAGTCAGCTATTAAACACTTTTCTTCCTTTTTATTTGCTTTTTCAGCAATACGGCTCCTTCCAGACAGACAAACTGGAATGTGGCCAGGTTGGAAGCTGGAGATCCAACTCCACAGCAAATTCTACCACCATCCAAGAACAAGCCTTCCATTCAGAAAACAGCGAACTTTTATATACCCCATCGTACAGCTTACCTTTCTCTTACCATTATGGACACTTCCCTGTAGACCCTCATGTATTCAGTAGCAAAAAACAAATGCTGCCTTCTAAATTTGGGCAGTCTCAAGGAACACCTTGCGAAGTCGCTCGATTTTTCTTAAGTACATTGCAGACAAGTGGAGAGTGCCAGTGGCACTATGCCAATTCCCTTGTATCAGGCAGCCAATCACCATCTAGAAGTCCCTCTGATCAGTCAGCAAGCAACATACGCCATAATCTCTTACAGGGTTATGAAGGTGTGTATTACATGTACAAATCCAAAGCTTTTGTGCTCAGGAATAACTTGAGTATTTTCAGTATTTTCAAATATTAAAGGGTGTGTTTTGAGTAAAGATGGTTAAAACCTTTGGTAAAAAGGGTAAAACCCCTAGGTTTGTAGTAAATTATTCAGATTTTCTCATTCGTATTTAAACTTTTTGAGCAATCAGACTTGCTTAAAGAAAGACAGGACAGCCTCCAACCCTGGATTTAAGAATCCATGAAAACAGTTGCACCTTATGTTGCTACCTGACTTGTTCAAACTTCTATCTAGATGCAGTATAGGAATAGCATAAATCTAATGTTTTGCACTGGTATAATTGATGTTCTGTTCCAAAGACAATTTAAGAAGAGGCTTAGCTTTAGGGTTTTTTTTTTTTAACTTAGAGTTTATCTAGGCAACTTGTTAAGAGACTGAGATTCTATTTTATTTTTCCACAAAGTATAAAAATACTGCCTGGTAAATCAAATGTATAGCCTTTTCATGTGTTATGTCTGACTTAACTGGTAGGTTTTCAAAGAAGCCAGTTTGTCAAACTATGTACCCAAAGATAAAAATAAACCCAAACTCATTCAGACATGTGTTTTTAAGAATTCCAGTGAAGCTCAGGTCCAGTTGTCTAAAATGGCAATTAACAGTAATTTGATTCTTTAGAGCTTCTGAGAATATGTTTAAACTCCATCATGCAATTTGGTATGGAACAGGGGTGGTGAAGTTCTCCCATAAAATTCCATACTGCAATTCACTTATTTATCACAAGTTTAAAGTCAGCAGCTAAAACTCAGAAAGTGTACCCTTTAAGCAGAATTTACTATATTCTGCTAAGATGTAAAATCACAGCTGCTTTTCCAATTCTTTTGATCTGCTTTTATATACCTAATTTATGTTTTTTTCCCTTCCCAAGTGCCACTACCAAATAGAAGATACAACCAAGAAGGCACGTCTGACAGCTTTGCAAGCTGTACTACTCTAACACCAAATAACAGATACAAAGAAGATATATATGATTCCAGCATTATAAAACACAGCAAAATGGAAAGCAGAATATATCCTGCACACCATCATCTCATTAAAGAAGAAAATAAGCTTGTTTTCAATAGAGACTTGCAAGAAAAAAATAACATTAATGAAAAGCCCTTTTCAAACTCCTTAACTAACTCTTTTTTATCAAAATCAGAATGTTTTCAAACTAAATCAATTGGACAACTCAGCCACCTTCTCCCAGTTCCAACCGTATATGAACAAAGAAGAATTTGCATGAGAGAACCAAAATATGAGCACATTGCCACAAATCTAGGTGAGTTGGAAACTGATGAAAGAATGACACTGAAGCTTGATCATATTTCTGAAAATGATCATACAGTGGATGTGAGACATACAGGGCAAGTTCCTTTTGTTCTTTTGAACTACCACCGGGTTTTAGCTAAACACGGCACATTTCAAACCTCTTCATGCACTGCCACAGGACATGTAGCTGAAAGTTATGGACACAGTTCTGAAGAAGTAAATATGTTTTACAAAAACCAAAGTCCTTTATCAGCCTCTTCTCCTGAAACTCACAAGGACCCTGCACTTCCGCATTATATTGGAACTTCTGTAATAATAGCCAATGGAAGGTGACAATAATATAAACTTGCTTTTTTAATTAAAAATAAACTGGAATGATTTCTGAAATGTGTTAGAATCATCGGTGCACATAGTTAGCACAGTTGAAGGTCAGTGAGACATAAACTTGCATGCATTCTTGGCATGCCATCTGGAACAGTATCTTTAAGGTCAGAAAAAATGTGCTTAGCTTCAGTGCATCATTATTGAGAAATCTCTGCCGTTGACTCTGGCAGTAAGAAGCCATGTAACAGTTCATTTTTAAGTTGCTTTTACATTGTACAACATAAAGTATAAGAATTTATGTACTGATGCAAAGATTGACCTTGTTTTCATTAAAAAAAAACCCCATAATTTAAATATTTGAATGCGATAGACCAGCCATCAAATGGACAGTATGGCAATAGATGGTGCCACAATTATTCATGGCTGCCTCTGTTAAACTATCTTCTTATTGTGGGAACATTTTATGTTTTTAATCCCTGAAGCTGAACCATTTATTTTAACTCATCTGACTTTCATATACTGTACCAATGCAATCAAGAATTGCAAGTCTGTATGACTACTATGCATCTTCAAACAATGAAAATCTATCAGCCCAATATGCTAGATAGATTGGAAATACCTACCAAAGAGTTTATGATTTTTCACACTCTTAAGAAGTTGTTTTTGGTAAGAATATTTTAAAGCATCTCTTTGAAACAACAGGAAAGAGTCCCTATTTCAAATAGACCTCCAAAATTTTCTTTGACAGCTAACCAAAAACATAGTTGTGAACATTTTGCTCTGGCAATCAGATCTGAAATCTTCAGTTTCAGCAATCAACCTTTTCTATTTGGACAGTATGTTTTTAGCTCAGCAAGTTACAACACTGTTGTTGGTTAAGATACGATAAAATCCGTTCGCTAAAAGCACTAATGAACAGGTGAGAATCTGGAGGCACTGAAATTTTATTTTGCCTTTCTGTACTGTCGAGCCTGGAAGGTAAGACAAGCTTAAGTATCTGCAAAAGGCTTTGTGATCAGTTTATAGCCACTACTGTGAACTAGTTCTTTGTGGATGCTGTTAACACACATGTGGCAACAGCATAAAGAAATAAACATTATTCAGTGGTGGTGGGGGGGAAAGCCTTGTATATATAGACATATATATGCATCAGAGCTCTTTTGCATGAAACAAGCTTCTGGCATGTGGTTTTCCTCGATGTAACTGATGAGCCAAACATATTTTCTTGCTACTGATAACATGATAAAAGGCTCCACAGTATAAAAGTATATCATGTATATTAACATTAACATTAATTGACTTTGGAGCCAGGTGTATATTTTCAAATTGCATTGAATATCCCATTTTAAGTCTGAGCTACACTAAAAAGTTTCTAAAATGTCCCCTGGCTAAGTGAAGTTTTATTAGAGGAGTAGAAGAACTTTTCTACCCCAGGAAGCATATGGCAGTTTTGCCATTGCCTTGACAACAGCCAGAACAGATTATTACTTTTACAATAAAACTTATCTATCTTGTGCAATATGGAATACAACTTGTTGGCTGCCTACTTTTGAATGTCAAATACATTGAAGTAAGACATTTTCATCGCGAAACTATTTATATTTAGACATAGCAATACTATCCATTCCCTTTTCTAATCTTATAGGAATGTTATTATAAGAAAACAAGTTTGTTTGAAATTTATTGTTTGTTATCGGTATTATCCTCCTAAATAAGAATGCTGAGCATGCACATTTTTAACTGCCAAAGCAATTTGTATCATAATCCAAATAGAGTCAAACTGTGCCTTGAGCTGAAGCCAGTGGTTCCCAAAGTGTAAGGTAGGCTTCTTTAGGGTCACATAGTTGCTGCCAAAGGCAAAGTAACGTATCTTCATCCACCATTCACTGCTGTCTCCTAACTCTTGATTGTTTTATGGGGCACTGGATTTTACTTTCTAACCTGTTAACCCCCTAAATATTCCTTCCTGTAGCCTTCTTCCTTACTTTTTGTTTGAGCATTCCAAAAAGAAAAAAGGCTACCATTGTTTGGTCTTTACTTATCTAAATACAGAGAAATGCTTATACTGTTTCCCAAGTTAGTAAGACAGAACATTGCATAACTTGAATGATTTTAAACCGACAGGCACTTTGCACTAATAGCCTGGATCCTGTTCTGATCTGTGAATCTGTATAAGGAGATGCATGTCTGAAGGGGTTAAATATGCACAATGCTGGTAACATCTTTAATGCCATGACTCCAAACTCAGACTTATAGCTTGACTGCTCGGCATTGAAATGGTATTTCTTGCAGCAGGGAAACATGAAAATAGGCCTCACATTGCACATGTGAAACTGCTTTAAATTCAGGTGACTTCCATTGGGCAATACCAGTTTAAACTTGAACATTAGTGGGATGGAATTAGGTTATTTTGAGCATATGGTTTCCATGCACAAAGTCAGCAGGAACACTGAGAATTAGATTGCCTGAATATTTGCAAACCCATTGAGACAAAAATCTCTTTTAGAAATGGAACTTCAAACAGAAGTCCCCAGAAATCCATAAATCTTCTGCAAATTAAGTAAAGCTGACTGAAACAAATAGGGCTCATACATTTTTTTCAAGAAAAGCCTGGTTCATGCTAACTTGAGAATCACAGTCTGATGATCTGAGTTGCTGTCTGTATTCGCAATATTGGAATAATATAATTATTTGTGTACTAGTGCACCAATAGTCCCAGCTACACCATCCTTTATTGACACATCAAATACTAAGAACATGCATAAGTTTAAATAACATGCAATTGAAACTTACCAGAGACGTAATTTTAGAATTAAATTTTAGAATTAAATTAATGTATTACAGCTAACATAGACAATTATTTTTCTAATGGCCAAACAAAAGTATTGTCTACCACCTGCAAGAAAAATTCTTTGAAAGTGGATGCCTTTACTGTAGTAATAATTATAGCCAAAAACGGGAGAAACACTCTTCATACAAAAGTTCTTTTATACTGAATTCTTGTTGTGATTTATTCTAAGCACAATACACAATATGCATGCATTTTCAGATAAAGTTTTTTTACAGTGTTTCAAAATACTGCCTGTTCCTGTGTTTCTTCAGGTGAGAGATCCTGGAAGGTTACATTTATGCCAAGACACAGATCTTTCTTTTGTTAGAAGAAAAATGCCTTTCCTCATCTGATACCAGCAGTTAACTGCCTCATTAAAATATATATATTGATAGACAATTTTATCATAATATTCTACCTTATCTTCTTCAAAATGATTGTACATATATAAAGTCTCTCACTTTGTAAGAAAGCTTTTTGAGAAGGTACACGTTTTAATTTAATTAAATTGTTCAGTGTTATTCAAATGGTGCCTACTAACTGCCCAAGGTGAATTTTTTTAATGAATCTGCAGGAAAATGTTCTAACATCCCCTGCATGATTAACAGTCCATATTTCTATGTAGGAAATGAATATTCCAGTAGATGTTCCTATATAATAATGTGACATGTTCACAGTTAGAATCCAAATGAAGAATTTGATAGAGAAATGAGAAACCAGACAATTATCAACATTTTCCACTATCCACAACGCCTAAATTACTGAATCCATCTAAGAATTAAAATAGAATCTACATGCAGCAGAAACAGAAACCTAGGAAGGAAGCATAAACTGGGAGCCTTCCTTTTCACATCACTGTTTGCTCAAGTGTAAATTTTAAGTACTGATTATGAATTGTGAGAACTTAAGATTCAATGTTGCAGTGTTCTACATGTTTACTTCATGAAAAAATGAGTGTGAAAAATGGAAAACTCAACATTGGCTTTGCTATCTTACCATTGGCAATATCGCCTAGTAATAGTACTGCTCGGCTGAGTCCAACTTTATAAATTATTCTACCTTGCCAATAATCTAGTTAACTTACAAAGCTAAGCCATGTACCAGCAAGTTTTAACATTTGTGTAGCACAATCGTATGCATGTTTACTTGTAAGTAAACCCCACTGTGTTCAGTAGGGTTTAGTCACTAGTAAGTATGTTTAGGATTATAGCCTCACACTATTAGGGACACTATAGTTTGAATGGAACCACAACAACCCATTTTTATCTGTTTGGAGGAAAGTAAATTGTTTTATTTCCCTGTTCTGGAACTTTATAATTTGCATTTTAAATGATGCAAAAATCAATTATTTGACAAAACATATGTGGAAAAAGAAACACATATCCTATTATTGCTTAGGATTCTATATTTACTCCCTTCAATTGTAAAGCTTTTGCTTATTTATTATGTAAGATGAAAATGTTAAATAAAATACTGTAGCCAAAGGAATAAGTGGACTTCTATTATTTTCTTGGTGTTAAAACTACAAATAATGCATCCAATAACATGTTTTCAGTATTATAAATTGGTTAATTTAGGTAACTAGTTCCATAAATAAACATTTTTGCTGTTTTCTCTTGCAATCTGAATAGTCCTAGAAAGTCATAGTAAAAACTGATCCAGAGCTTTTAAGTTAAATTTTACTGAAATTCTGTATGTTACATAAGCACCACCACATAACTCTTCAGCTATGTAAGCACCACATAGCTCTAAATACATATTTGTTTTTATTTTATGCCAAGAATTGCTACCTCCATACTTCTCAGCTCAAGCTATATTGGTGCTAACACAAGTTTGTTATGTGGTCACCCTGCTTCAATCCCAGAATTTTATGCCCAGATACTGGCTGTGTTCACACAGCATGCTAAGTCACCCTGTGAATAAGCTGTGCACTCTGGATGCACAGGATATTGGGTGCACCTTGATTTGTTCTTCCCTCCTCTCCCAGCTGGCACCCCAGTGTCCTTTGTGGCAGACCCACATCTTGTCTCCCTTTGCCAGCTCCAATTGCTATTGCCATTTTCTTTGTTACTGGGGGGATGCACGCAGTCTCACAAATGTGGAACCAGGGTTTTATTCTGTTTTAAAAAGGCCACTGAAAATTGCAGTGAGTCACAAGTGACATCCAGTGTGGTGCAGTGCTTGAGAGTGCAGGACTGGGACTCAGGACGTCTGAGTTCTAGTCCCCACTCAGCCATGGAGCTGCCTGGATGACTTGAAGCCAATCACTGTCTCTTAGTCCAACCTACCTCACAGGGTGGTTGAAAGGAGAATCATGTGAGCCACCATGCATTCCTTGAAAGAAAAAAGGCAGCATATAAATAAATAATCTTTAGTTGTCCACATGTACTAGCTGCACGTAACACACACTAAATCAAAAGCCAAGAGATCATATAGGCTATTTTTCATATAGTGGCCAGTCGCACATTTCCAAGCTGTCAGCTGAAAAGTAAAGAGGGGGAAGGAGGTGCGCCAAAAAGAGGTGGCAACAATCTTTTAAGTATACTAAGTAACCCTCTGGTCTTTTCAAGGTCCAAGTGACTGTTCTCAGTGCACAGCACCTTTTCAACGCTATCCCAAGTCTACAACTGCTGCAGAAAAGGCCTTTCTAAGCCTGCTTTTTGGAGCTGTGATTACTGTGGATCCTTGACATTTCTACAAAATGTGTATTTATTTGGATTGGGAAATCAAATGTAATGGCTGGCAAGTAAACAGCAAATCTGCTCACCCACAGTAACTGCCTCTCTATTCACTCTCTTCCCCTCAAATTGGCAGATTTCTCCTCCATTTACTTCCCAGCTATTAAATCTGCATGTTTTTCTCAGTTTTTTTCAACCTTAAAATCAAAACAAATAACAACAGTTAAAAACAACAACCTTCAAGGTGGCAGTACAGGATGGATCAAATAGGGCAACAGCAGCACGTACCCCCCTCCCCAAAAAGCACCATTCACACAGTCTCATTTTTAGAATGGTAAGGTGTTGCCAATACCAGTAGTAAGTGCTCCAAAAGAGTGTGGAAGGGAGTTAATATCTTTCCACAGCAGCTGTAAGTTCAACTTGTAACCTTCTGTGTTTCCCCACCAATTATTTCCTAATCCTTGGACACACACAAAACTAGTTGAGTTCACCTGACATGACAACCCCCCAAGGCAATAAACCACACTGGGTTGGTTCTTTTGTCAAGTACCAACAATGAGTCCAACAGATGGACAGTGATACCAAGAGATCTACTCTTGGCAGGAGGTAGGGGTGCCTGATATGCTGTGTGTTGCTGTGTTGGACATGGTGCAACACTGCAGAGGGGGCTGGGCTAGCTTGTCAAACAGGAGTAAATCCTAGCCATCTCGGTGGTGTAAGAAGTCTACTCTTAGGCATTCTGTGCTGCTGCAGGCAGGGGAAAGCTTATGACTAGAACAAGGAAGGTGCTGTCAGTGGTACTTCCCTGCGGCCCACTGGCTCTTAGGGCTCAGCCCCAGTAGCTCATGTCATCTGGGTTTGGATGACACAAGTCCTCAGGGGTGATGACAACCCTAGAGAAGTGCATGGCCATCACAGGGTGGCTTACTTGGAAGCAGCATTCACACAACATGACATCCACCTCAGATAACAATCAAGACAACAATCTTTTCCCAACTTGTCACACATGGTACATTATAAAAGAATGCAGAAATTGTAGTTGAGAGCTTACCTCAAAGACTTCCAACTTCTCTATCATCTGAATTGAGACACACTGATTTTCTAGATAATACAGGATGCTATAATGAACCTGAGAATCTTACAAATATTTCACAGAGTACTCTGAATATTATTTACAGGAGTGGACTAACTAAAGTTCCAAATGCTACTATAGCTGTTTGCTATAATAAATCTAACTGTACTTTCATATTGTCGAGGAGGAGGACCATTCTCCAAATTTTCCTTTTAAAAAATGCTATACTCAACAATGGTACAATCAACCTTGTTCTCTTTGCAGAATCACACCTTTCAACAGAAATTACTTCTGATAATCTTTTTTATTATTTTAATTAAAAAGTAGAATATAGAAAAAAAAGAAAGGATACCAAGGGATCTTGCACAAATATTACATATAATATCAAATTCAAAAAAAATCATGGAAAGTCAGTAATTGTTTTCTACACTCAGTTACATTAATTAGTTAGTACTTAACTGAAACTCATAGAGCAATTGTTCTAACTTATAATTCTTAAAACTTAAATTTAAATAGCAAAGCATTTGTATTAAAATTATAACGCACTAATGATACTATTACAAGCTCTATTTTCATTAAGTAAATTGTACATAATACGTTTTCCATTTATCACTTCTGATAATCTTTTAGCTTATCCTGTTATTTTTAAAAGAAGTAGTTACAATAACCCAAACATATTAGTAAGCATTAGCCTAGTATACCTTTCAGAAGGACTGAAAGAATTCTCTACACAGCAATGGAAAGAAACATAGTTTTTCAAAAAAACTTTTTAACTTTAGAGACAAAAAATCTTGACACACTTTTTCAGGCTTTTGCCTTTTAAAGACAGAGAATCTGCATATTTAGGGATTCTTCCACCAGGAAAAATAATACTGATAACGGTTGCTATAGGAGAAATGGGGTGCTCCGATGAGCACTCATTCCTCTGGGGCCTCTAGGAGTCTCAAAAAGGGCCTGATCAAGGTGACTTCCTTGAAAATTCTCGAATGACAGGCTAGTTTTACTTGATTTAGCAGTACATTCCTACAGCACTACATGTTATGATACTTCGGTTACTTGTTGATGGGAGTAGAACCACTTTGGGAAGCCAGAAGGATGGGAGGGAGGCAGGCAGGCAGGAAGCCTTCTCAAGTAGAAGATATACTGTAAAAACAAGAAAGAATGAGGAGAGAAGACTAGCCTATTTTTAAATAAAACTGGGTTATTCTTTGTCTGAAAGCTGTTCATCTGGGGCTTACGTCTAGATAAAAAGTATAGAATCTGCCCCTTCCCCATAACCTCTGTCCCCACCCTCATTATCCTTCCCCATTTGGAATGTTCCTAGACTGAAAAAAGTTTCCAGTATTGCTACTGTGCCCAGTAGCGATGCTCAGCTGTTACTGGTTTGGCTCTTGAAGGTTGCAAATGCTGTTCCTGCATATGTTCTGAATCCTTACTTAAGGCTGCACAGAGATAATGAAAAAGAGATAATGAAAAATAGCTTTGTTCTGCTTTCAACTCCATGGGTTAGAGCCAGCCTTAGTCCTGCTTAAAACAGCTCTACTGAAATTAATGGAACTTCTGTTATTCATGGGTCTACTCTAAATAGGCCTACATCTGGGTTAAACCTTTTACCATAGTCAGCCCTTCTGTAAGTAGCAATATGGTGCACCATCCTATTGACACCAATCAGATTCAAGAGTCGGAACTATGCAAGTGCATTTTTATAGCTGAAACCAAATTAGTAAGCTTCTATAATTGTGTACTTTTGAAAAAAGGATCTTGTAAAAACATTCAATAAAAAAACATAATGCACAGTATAAAGATGTAAACATTTCATACTAATTTTAGACAGCTGAATAAATTGTTAGGGTATGTACTTCAAAATGCTATGGAACATTTATAAACTACCAACATAAGCCCATTCTTAATTCTGAATACCTAGTGAAAATTGTATAGCTCCGGAAAAGTCATCAGCTTGTGCCTTGATATAATTCTGCTCCTCATTCTTTTTGACTCCAAACACCAACACCCGTGAGCCGCTTAAGAAATGTTGCTGTCAATAAATAATCTGTAAAAATATTTTTAATATGTAATGAGGAGTTTTATAACTCAGTCCAGAAGAAAAACTCATATTGCACAAAAATATGGGCACCATAGTGAAATATTTTTGAAACCACTTCATCAAGCTAACAGTCTGAAAGGCGACATCAGCTACACAGTGAAAAAGGTGTTTTACTAACCTGGACATTTTAATAGCATTACACATTTTCAGTGGGCTGCTTCTGGATTCCAGGATGCCTGGCTGGCTCCTGCAGACTCTGTCCAGACACATTTTGCTATATTATAACAGTCGCAAGAACTGTTATAAAATGCGTTTCACACAGAAATGGTTCGCAGTTGCCAAGTTTGATGCAGAAAACAATATGATTACCAGCTGTACTCCCCACATGTACCTTTAGTTGAGTATCCTAGAAAAAGAAGGCCCAGCGGCATTCCTGGCTGCCACAGCTGCTAGTCAGACCTTGTGCAGCTTTTCTGTAAGAAATAGGATATTTTTCTTGGATGCATTTGAAGCAAATAAAGTCAGGTACACAACTGTTCGATATTGAGGCCAATGTTTCCTTTCCCTTCATTCAAGACAATATACTGTCTTGTACAGACAGAAACAGGCCATTGAGAAGGCAAAGGCAAAAGAGATATTCCCACCTAATCTACTGGTACTTCAATATGTCCACACTTCATCAGTTTTCATTTATGAAAAGGAAATTAAACGAAGGAAATTTTCCAGAGCAAACATTTCCAGACTATAGCTTGAAATAATATAATATAAAATAAAATAGTAAAGTAAAATAAAATAAAATAAGCCATGGGGGTGTTTTTTGTAATTTTTTTCAAAGTTTCATATTCTTTATTATTCTGGTAAGAAAACCTTACATTGCATTTCTTTATTTACATACTTTTCTGCCCAATTTTCTATACAAGATATTCAAAGCAACATACAAAAGAGCAGCGTAGAAGAAAAACAGTTCTAATATGTATATATAAAAAACAGCATGAAAAATATAGCAACCTCAAGTAAAATATCAAGAGAATAAGTGCTATTCAGTCAATGCTGGCTGAAATAAATGGACTTTATCCCGTAAAAGACTGGCACTAATGGAGCTTGGCAAATCTTCCATGGCAGGGAATTCCAACTCAGGGCATACGCAAAGGAGTGGTCCTGTCTCTCAGGCTCATCTAACATCTGAAGGTGACAGGATATAAAACATGGCCTCTGATATGAACTTTGTGCTTTTTAAGGCTCATACAGGAGAAACTAGCAACTTACAGAATCTACCCTTAGGCTAGGGATGGGGAGCATGCAGCAATGCCTCCCTCACGACTGCTGATGCTGGCCAGCTCTGATGCAGCCCAGTGACCTCTGCAGGGCCACAGCTTCCCCATTCCTACCCTAGGTTACACCGTGCAGAGATCCCCAGCAGGGTGCCTGTGGGCATCCAAATGGATTTATTTATTAATATACGTACATGAATGTTGATGAAATGGATACACATTTCTAGCAAGTATGAATGGGTTTCAAGATGACCAAATACCCAAATAAGCATGCATCATTTTTACAGGGTTAGTTTTAATGCTGCTTCATTTTATGACACCTGTATTTTATTGTTTTGTTTTATAAACCTCCCAGAAAGGTTTGGACATGGGGTGGTATAAAAATGAAATAAATGGTGATGATGATAATGATGATGGATAAATAATAATAATAAAAAAATAGAAGTTGGCACCTGGTGCTTGGCCAGATTCATGCAGTCACCTCTGTATCAGATCCTTGTAATGCACTCTACATGCGACTGCTCTTGAAGATGGTTCAGAAGCAGCAGCTCATGCAGAATGCAGCAGCCAGATCAATAACTGGGACCTGTAAATCCGAACACATAACACAGTTCTGGCCCACTTGCATTGGCAGCTGATATGCTTCTAGCTCTAAGTCAAGGTGCTGGTTTTAACTTATAAAACCTTAAGTACCTGTTGAAGCACCTCTTCTAACCACAATACTTGGACACTACATTTAAATACTACACTTAAACTTTGGGGGCTTCCTCCTAGTATGAAATCCAAGTGCGGTTTGAGGGGGTGGCAAAAAGGGGGAGCACTTTCTCTGTGGTGGCCTTCTATGTATGGAACACCCACCCTAGAGTGGCCAGCCTGGGGCCAAACTTGTCACCTTTTTGTTACCAGATTAAGACGGCCCTTTATGCCAAGGCTTTAAAAAGATTTACTGGGATTATTTAACCCAGGTTTTTTCCCCAGAGTAATTCTCTACTGCGTGTTTTAGCTGTTTTAATTTTATGTTGGTTTCATTTTATGATATTATTATTGTATTTTATTGTCTTATTTTGTAGATTGTTGCAAAACAGCCAGAGAGCTTCAGTCATGGAGCAGTACAGAAATGAAATAAATTCTCCTCATTCTCATCTACATGTAATTCCTCCATAAATCAAAACTTTTCTAAACTCGTCAATCCATTGCATCACAAGAGGTGCTAATCTTTCCAATTTTCTAATATTAGGCATTCACCTGTCAAGTGGGCCTAGAGAATCCATTTCCCTCTTTTATTTGTTCATTTCTGTGAAGCAGGTAAATAATTTAAAAGAACATGTATATCAGTGAGCACAAAGGATGGTTACTGTATAAAATGTATTTGTGTAAATATCTCCTTCCAAAAAGCATCTTCTGGACATTGCCAAAACATATGTTTACAGTAAGCATGCATTGTACTGCATGACAATTAATTAGCTGAATCAAACTATTCCTTATTAAAGGGATTGCTCAAGTGTCCAGTGGCCAGAAAGAAAAACTTTTTACTGCATAAGATGCAACAAAGTCAGTAATTTACAGATGCTACAAGCATATGCAAGTGCCAATCCACTGCCACTGAGTAGGCATTTTGCATTAGTGCCCACAATCATTTCCCATACAGCTCTCTCAAGATCCTATCCTAGAAAGCAGGTAATTTCTTTCTGTTGCAACCCAATTCGCTTTGGTGGGCTGTTGGTAGTATGGCAAGAAAGTATGAAATTGTATCATTCCCTTGCAAGACCTGATCTCTCCCATCACATCACATTGAATAATGTCAAAACCAGCACTATGCTCCAACTTCCCTGGGTTTGTCTGACTTACCAAACACAAACTAAAGAGCAGGTAAGAAATTAATATGGCAAAGGACAAAGTAAAAGTGAAGACAATTTAATTGCCTTTCACTGACTCTTAAATGTTTGTAACATTTTGCTCTTTTTTGTTTGGTTGAATAAGTTTATGCTAGAAATGACAAAATCCACACACAGGCACAAGTCAATAAAATTCTACTGCAGTAGAAACAGCCTGATAGTTTCCTTTTCCTTTGCAGACTTAGGTTTTAAATCCTGTTTCTGGAATTATGCGGAATGGTTCAAATCTATTTTAACAATAGAATGCAGTGTGGTGCACTCCCTTTAAACTGAGCTTCTTCACATTGTCACCTTTCAAGCAAAAGTCACCTTTTGAAGTAGCCATAGCACAAACAAGTAGTATTAGTAGAACATGAAGGTTCCAACCAAAAAGCCATCTAGGGGTCAGTAATCTCTCTAACACAGTGGCATAACCAATATGTTTCCCACAATTTTTTCAGGATCTTAGGCAGTGCTCTTTCCTAGCTCTGTTACTAGAGATTTTAACTGGTACCTTCTATGTGAAAAGCATGAAGGGGATAGCAAACCACCACCTGCACCTGGTACTTTGTAAATTAAAAGGTATACTGTTTCTGAAAACAGAAATTTAACTTTTAGCAAACATGAAATTATTCCATGGATTTTGGCTAATTCAGTAGATAACACCATATTTTATGGCCTTTTTAAAAGTCTGATTCATTACCCTACTGAAAATCAATTAAGGACAATTCTGAATTTTAATATTCTGAGATGCAGAGTGGTAACTCTCAACATCATTAATAACTTTATAACCCTCTGCAATGTTCCTTCTTCAAGATTGGTGGATACAACAAAATGTTATATATCATTTTCCAGTCTCTTTCTTAATACTTCCAAATACTACTCTAATGTGATTTTTAAATTTTTTTAGCACTTTCTACTGAAACACCAATATACATTTTTGTAAGCAACAGTTACAACTAAATTACATTAATATTGCAGTTTAGTTTATTAAACTGACTAAATCTATTAGCTGAAAAGGCATCCCTCATGAAATCGGGCAGCAGATTGTCACTAACTTTTAAAAATACAAGTATAGGTAAGTTAGTATAAGTTATCGATAGGATCTTAGCAGAAGCTACCCCCCACACACAGGCTGGAATACCGGTGTTGCAATGGTTTATGCATATGCATATTTACACAAATGTAATCCGTGTAAAATTCATAAGATTAATCAACTATTTTTTTAACCTGGGTACCAGCACAAATCTAGATCTGTTGGCATATATGTGAAGTTACCAACTTTTTGTCCCAGTCACTTTGCACTTAATCTCATATGCCATTCTGATGTTCGATCAGTTTGAACATATCATTTGGAATTCTTAGAATTCAGACCACACAGAATAATGCTCAGTAATCTATAAATTCACTATAATTTAGAAACATATTTCTGCTTATAGTGTACCTGCGCCATCTCCAGTTTCTTGGGTTGTAGTCATTAGATGCATGAGTGTTTATTCCATCACTTATAGATTTTTAGGGAGCCTTTGATGAGGGTTTTTTTTTTACTGTTTTGAAGAACTCTAAAAAATTACTGAGGCAAGGCTTCCGTTTGCAAGAAGCCATGTTCCTTCTTCAGCAAGTCTTTTCCTTCTATATATTTTTTTTTAAAAATGAAGACATGACAAGGCACTTCCCTACGTTCCATACTTCAGTAACAAAAGATTGCATCTTGAGGGGGAGAGTAATTAGAAAAGACAGCTATACTATTCTGGAATGAGAGTTGGCATAGCCCTACCTCTAATTATTCTGCAGCTAACAGGCAATAGCAGGAATCATGCATTTAAAAGTGGTAAGGGAAGAAAACAGGACAGAAGGATCCCATTGGGATAAAAATAGAGGCCAAATACTGTGATGTGTCAAAATATTCCATTACACTAGTTCAGATTTAAGGACCACTTGCGTTATTAAATCTGTAAGGCTGATTACAAGCAAACATAGGATTTTTAAGGTTTGCAAAAATGTTGCAAGTAACCGTTCGTTATTCAAATTAACTGTTTAAAATTTGCTTAGTTGCGTTGCTTTTTTGGTTAAATAATGCATTGTAAAAGAAAGAGTTATGGATGCCACAGTGTGGGAAACTCCTTGAAACAGAGGTCAAAATCTTTACTTTTAGTGAAAGGACAACTTAATCTCCAGTAATTTATAGTCAAACTACTCAGTCTTCAATATGCAAGGATTATGTTAATCCACCATTACAGGGCAATTTCTTTGCTTTCTTGAGGGTTTCTTGATTTATATTTGAGTCAAGCTACTTATTTTCTTATTCTTTATGCAGTAAACTTTAATCTACAATAGTCTGCTTCTGACTACAACTCAAGAATCTGGGGGAGGGGGTTTCTTAACTGAACAGGAGGAAGCCGGTTAGAATCCACAGCAGTTCTCACTAGGCGGTCAGGTTACGGACAATTCCCTGACATGCAGGAACTGTTTGCAGGCTACCGCCTGGGTGGACAGGGCTGCAAGCCTGTGAACCTAAGCAACAAAGGTTTAGACACCCAAGCATACATTGTTCAGACACTTGCACTGCAAGTGTCTGAACAAATCACTTGCCCATCTTTATCTGGCATCTTATTATGAAATTATGAATAATGATCAGAGCTTCTGAGTAGCAAATTAGGTTATATGATGTGCATCATACAACATGAACGAGCTTTGAGTTAAATGCATCAAGTAAGAGCTATCAATGGGAAACTGGTTCTGCTAGCCATCCCGGCAGGCACATGCTACTGATTATTTTATAGGCTATTTTAGTTGTAGAAACTGTTCTTCATGAAATGTCCTAACAAAATGAAGTTGCAAAATAGTTTGGTGAAACTTGAAAGATTATGTCCAAATAAGTGAAAAGTTCTAGACTCATACAGGAATCAGAGAAAATTGCCAGAATTCTGTTAGAAAAAATCAGGAGTCATGGAAACTTTGTACTTGTATGATCATGAAGATTGTGAAGGGTTTTCACTCTAATAAAATTCAACATATGCAAAACCTATTCTTAAAAATATCACTTTTGATCATAGTCTTGTGGGGGAAGCAGAGTGAGGGAAAGGCAATTACTTTAATACTTTTACAGCTAAACCAAGTTTTTAAAAAAATCAGCCTTGTTTTGCATATAACTATTTTCCCACATTAAAATCCTCTACACCAAATTGCCAGCTCAAATTATTCTAATCATCTTAATATATGAAATATTTTGCTGAAAATTAAATTATTAATAGATTACTATAAAATGGAGCAGTATGAGAATAGGCCAGAAGTGTGGTCCTTTTGATGCTGTTGCACTGCATCTCTTTTCATCCTCCAACACAGACTAGGGTTGTTGGGAGATGCACATCTTTCCTACCCTGGTCTAAGCGGAAGCATTAAGGAACTGTGATAAGAGGATAATATTGTCTTCAGTGAGAAAATTCTGGATTAGTGAAGCATCTCGAAAATGAGATGCAAAAGCTTGTCTTGCAGACCATAAGGGTCTCCCATGTCTAAATGAAGACTGGGAGGGAAGGAAAGCTTGAAACCTGTCAGTTGCAGAGTCACTGGATCAAGCACCCAGAAAAATGAAAAGATGTAACAGTACTGTGATTCTATTCTTCAGCCTTAAATAACCTCAGTTTAATATATTGTCTCTTGCCAATCTTTTGCCAATTGTACGTATTGAACACAAAATGGTATTCTAAAAGCAAGTAGCTGTTTCATCACAATGAAAAACTACTGCTGCTTTGGAACTATAAGGTTTCTCAGCATATCAAAAGAATTGCCATCTGGATGCACAGTCAATATATCTTTGCCTTCCTCATGAACTTGAAGGAATCCAGCATCATCTAGTCCAACGATCCATACCATTGGCCCTTCATCATTTTCGAGCTGGACTTTCTTACCACTGCAAACAGAAATCAGGAATTGCTCACTTAATAAGGCCAGCAGCATCAAGCTTCACAGAGCTATTATACTAGATATACACCCAATTGAAATATGTTAAGTATCTGATTATTTCGATTATCTAGATTGCTTTGTGGAGCCACGTAATCGACAATCCTATATAGTCATTCACATTTAACCAAACTTCAAAATATAGCACCAAAGTATAAGTAATGTAAGCATAAGACAAATCATTGCCCATAGGAGCTTACATATCTGAACTCAATTTTTTTTGAACAATATGACATTGTGGGGAAAATAATTCTTCAGAAATGCCCATGAATTCTGCATAGTTCTCACACAACAGAATTTACTGTGTTTACCACATAAGGAACAAGACAAGTAAGGATTTCTTGTGCCCACCTGTTACCTTTCCTAGACTATCTGCTTAGCTACAGCTGATCTAATTCATTTACTTTGCAATTGTCATGGTTAATTCATAATCTATTTTGAACAACTTGTCTTAAGATAGTAGGCTGAAATGTAGTTCTGTGAGACAACTTCTGTAAATGTTTTGATATACTGTAATATACGAGTAATGAACTACAAGATAAATTTAAATCTGCCTAAGCATAAGCAAGTACACATTGATAAAGCTTTGTGTATTAAGCAAAAATAAGGCCTATTTAGCCACTATTTCTGTTTCTAAATAGGACAATTAATGTTAAGAATATTAAAAGGACAAATTTTCTTACCTGTGGATCCAGTACCTATAGTACATGGGAAGGATTCCATTTGGACCTTTCTTTTGAAAAGTATTAATAAGATTTTCCAGTACTGTCACACTTCTTGCTATCAGGCAGTCAGTACTTAAGGGCCTTAATTTTGTATTCTTTGTCTTATTGTGCTCCATAATGACATCATTGATGCATATAGTTGGGTTGCTGTTATTCACGTTAAATCCGCAGCCTGGGGCGGTGTGGGGGAAGAAAAGTAATCAGGAAAGTGGTATAGGAAAAGTTCTGTTTCTCTGCACAAGTCAATTTTTTTCTGATTGCAATACAAACCTATTCACCTAGACTGCTGTGAAAATCCTTCTACAGGTTTCCCAAAGATGTTTTGTTTTCAGTAATGATGAAAGATGAGGCAAGCTCCTATAAACTTAAATCCATCTCCTCTGCTAAAGATAAGACAGCTTGCCTGATATTTATGACAGTACTTGCCCTTCTCCCCTTAATAAGACTCGGTTCAAACAGTTCCAAGGTATGCTATATCCAGATATACAACTTTCATTTAAAAGGACATTTTTGTGCAGCTCAATTGCTCAAGAAGCAGAAATTCTGCCAGCTGTGACATGACAAAGAATTTTCCATCTGTAGATGTTTCATCCTAATCCATGACATAGATATTTTAGGGGCACAGATATTTTGAAATAGATGTACCGTTCCTCCACCTGGAAGGACTGCCATATAAAATGCCAATGGAGGCAGATCTGCATGTGCATATATAGATGTGCCTCTTTAAGTTAAAATGAATGGGCCTCCATACAAACAATGGTTGTGCACACAGTCTAGAACACAGACAGGATCTGGATGCAGGCAAGGTAATGTTAATCCAAGAAAGTTAAATGTGGCTGTGAAATGCTGCTGTTCACAAGACAGAGGCAGCAACTGACTTCTTAAAGAAAGGACTAGAGGATTCCACGTTCAAGTCCGTGTTCAGATTTCCACCGCTCTCTTGCAAGACTCTTTCTCTGAAGCCTCACTTCTTACTCAGCTCTTTAGAAGAGGATAATATTGGCAGAAAGCCACTGTATTTAAATACAGTCCTCAAAACTTACTTGATCAGGACTCTTGAACATAGAGCTGCAAAATGTACACACAAATCTTGTGCTACCTTTCCTTGTAATTTGGCTTTCCTGCTCTGTATGCCGATGATGGCACCACCAGACTTGTCAAATAGATTCATGGTTGGGGTCCTTCCTTGTCCATCAAGCATTACTCAATTTATTTCTAAAAATGGAATTAATTACTTTGGAAGTTCATACATTGACTTCATGCTAGGTTTGACTTAATCGTTAATAAACATTAGAATGATGATTCTAAACTTCACTATTGTAGGAATATTCTGTTAGCAAAATCCACCGATTAATACAGATTTGACATGTTCCTATGCACATGTCTTCAAGCTAATATAATATTCTCAATTACACGAAGTTGGCTAAAGTCAATTAACACACACAAGTGAACATAAGTACGTACCAGCCTATGGGAAGAGGTGAATTTATTTCATATTTATACTTGTCAGAACAACATGGGATGTCACCAACAGTAATTTTAGTATTGCTGCTGATGTATATAGGCTTTATTAAAACACACACATGTACACACAATATTTAAAGAATGGTTCACTTCAAGGTGAAAATTGTGAAAAGTACTGATCCTTAAGTTTCCCCATTTGTATGTAAGACTAGAATGAATGCAAAAAGATTTTCCAGCTCCAATCAAGATCCACAAGATTTAAGATAAGATACTATAGCCAGAGAAAAATACATATTTGCTTTTGTGTGATGATCAAAATATATGGCACAGAAACTGGCCATTACAATAACAACAAGATAGTCCTGAATAAGAGGAAGGGCTGCCCAAATTATACACTGAATGATTATCAATATACCGGTATCCTAAAATAAGGGAGGAGTTTCTTGCTTAGGGATCCAAGTCAGGGATCCAAACAGGACAAATATGACTTTCTAGCACTGGCTGGGTAAGTTCCCCTTTGTTTTGCTAAAGAACATCTGAAACAGAGGTGCATCTTATTACTTTTTGCTATTGGAAGTTTAAACTCTCTTCTCCCATCTGATTGACAGATCAGTGAACTTGGTTGTTAGTTGAGAAGGCAGACACTATTTCAAATGTATGTCCATTAGGGGTTTGGTGGATTATAACCAGATTGTTTATTTTGCTAAAGGTGTATACTGTTAATGATGGCAAAAGTAGCTTTAAATGAAGAAACAAAGAGGTATGAAATAATTTCTGTTCTTACCAATAAGAATGTGAAAAGTATCTCCTGTTAGTGTGGAATTTACTAAAACACCCCCGAGCTTCATAAGGTCACTGTAGTAAATATCATTTGGCCATTTCACCCGGAGATCGATGTCCTAGGGAAACAAACATACATATTGGTAGCTCTAAACCCCTACATTCTAAATATTTATTGCAGCACTGGGCATATCCACTGACTAGCACTTTGTTCTTAATATACTTTTCCCTGACTGACAATAGACACTAGTGAAAGTTACTCATATTCACAGTTCCTTGACATTTCCTAAAAAAGCGAGACACAGAAACACATTTCATTCTGGATAATCATAGCACAGATCAGATGTACTTCCAAATACATTTGTCTTGTTTAATATATTTGTTGTAATATTGATTTTCTTAGCTGCCATGTGGGACAGCCCAAAAGGTGGGGGTATAAATAAATGTATAAGGATATAGTAAAATATGTTAAGTGCAGCTGTTGAAAATACAGACTGCATAGCTATGGCACAGCTATATTGAGGAACACAGCTATTGAAGCATTCCTCTTTTGGTTCAAGCCTATCACAACCAGAGGATTAGGGTTTCTAGACTAAGCTGGAATTATCAATTTGAGCAGCCATGCAGAGAGTTCATGGAGACAAGGCAAATTGGTGAAAACAACTCCAGTGAACTATCTTTAACATGTTCTATGTTCACCTACATATTGAATGACCTACTGTGAGCAGTAGGATATTCTCAAACAAGTGCTTGTGTCTGGTAATGCATGTTGTGGGATCTGACACTGCATTGTGCCAAAGACCCTGTTGTTCAGATAGGTTTTGATTGACCAGGGAAGGGCAGCTGTTCAACTGCATGTTTGCCATGGATGCAGGCTAAGGAGTTGGGGCCCAGTGGGTAAAGCACATGCTTTGCATGCAGTAAACCCCCAGTTCAAGTCCAAACATCTCTAGGTTGAGCTTGACTATTTCTCTGGAGAGTCATGGCCGCCCAATACTGACAATACTGAACTAGATGGAGCAGTGCTCGGACTCTATAGGAGGCAGGTTCCTAAGCAGTGTCCAAATTGTTATAACTATAGAAAGAAATAACGCCTGTTTAGTTGAAGTAAATATATTTTTTATCCTCAAGTACTTTCCCCTAGTTTGTATTAACATCTTAAGTCAGGATATATTTATTATTTTTATATGTCTACATTTATATTTAGTTTTTCTTAAGCTTTCATTGCAACAGGTTTTTGCTTGTTTTACTTTCAAGTCATTTGAAACTGACAAAATACTAGTGCTTGGACAAATGTTATTCCTGATTTAATGCAGAGGCCGGAACCTTAAATTACATCAACTTTACTCCTAATTAAATTATAATTCCCTAGTAACCAGGAATGGAGGGATTTCTTCTGTTCCATTTCATAATTATTTCAAGGACTGGCTCTGTCCTGCATTATTTTGTTTTACCAGTCCTTCCAAATTAGAGTCCAATTCCATGCGTATTTCCTAGAACATAAATCCCACTGTGTTTAGTAGGGCTGCTTCCACTGAACAGTATGTGTGCAAAATTGCAACCATAATTTCTCAGGCAGCATAGCCATAGGTTGCTGTTTCCACCATTCTTCCTTTCATTTGTATTGTTTATTTTTAAATATACTAAGCAACAAGAAATTGTTCACAATAAAACACACTTCCATTGCCAAGGAGGGTTGGGCTGCTTTCCAACAAGTTATGCCCAGCTTTGTTGTTGTTTCTATGTGCCATCAAGCAGTCTCTGACTTATTGCAATCCTATGAATGGCTGCCCTCAACAGCCCTTGTAGACTCAAGGCTGTGGCTTCCTTTATGGAGTTGATCCTTCTGTATTCAGTCTTCTTTCTTTTCTTTGACTTTAACATTCCCTAGCATGGTTGTCTTCGCCAGTGAATCTTGCCTTCTCATGATGTCCCTGAAGTACAATTACCTAAGTTTTGTCATTTTTGCTTCTAGGACAAGTTCTGACCTGATCTGATCTAAGACAACTTTTTACCTTTCTGTCAGCCCAGTGCTGGGTATTCACAAATTTCCTCTCCAGCACCATGCTTTGAATGCATCCATTTTTCCTTTGTCAACTATCCAGCTTCCACCTTTTAGAGAGAGCCCTTATCTTAGATTAGTATGAATCCTCCCATACAGTGGTTTGATGCAAAGACAGAGCAAAAACAAAACAGCCACTAGTGCAGTTTTGCCTGTGGCTGAAACCCAATGTTCTCCATTCATATAACACAGCACCAGTCTAGTTTTTAAAATGCAAGGATAAAATCATAGCCTCATTTGTTATCTCTCCAGCTGTAGTCAAATGTATAATATTAGACTGTCTATTATACCTACAATTATAAATTCTAATGCTAGAGCATATCATTTTCTTTTTTTCAATCTGATTTCTCCCACAGTTGATATTCCTAATAAAAGCATATTTAATATGTTTTACTCAATTATTATTTTTAATGGAGAAAAATAAAATTTGTAGGCAGCAAGACTGGGTAAAAGCAAAGCACATGTTACCTTTAAATTTTTAATTAAGAAAGTATTACTGTCATGGCAAACAATTGTTAAGGCTTAATAATAAGCGAATTGAAAAGGGATGACACACTTCAGCATCATAAACAAGAATCACTGGCTTAACAACTGCCAAATCTGAATGGGATTGGAAGGAGTTCAGAGGATGAGAAATTAAGAAGAAACATCCCTTCTAATAGTGAACTCAGGTAGAGAGTTCTGATAAAATTGAACCTATTGTGAAACAAGAGGGAGAACACAGGAGAACACCAGTATTTACAGTAGTATGACAAATCTGCACTAAAAAATTTCAAGGCAACAACCCTCCAAACCCAGTCCAGTGAGGATTCAGCATGCTCAGTAGCCAATAAATGGAAAACTGGGAGGAAGGACCAGTAGAATGCCCTTCTTGAGCACTTTATAATTCATAGTACCCTGGCTGGCACCTGAACATGGGCACCTTTTGCTAGGGAGGTGAGGAGTTCCTACTGCAGTGTTTTGTTATAGGTTTCACTTATGCCTGCAGCACATTCCACTTGTCATCTGGCTAAAAGGATGGTTGGTGATAGTTGCAAGCAAGCAAGCAAAGTTTATTGTATCTTAGCAGTTTGCCAATATATAAGGTTATATCTCTACTAACAAGCCCTCAAAAGTTGAATACTTCCCTTTACATCCTTTGTATTTTTCCATGCACATCTGTAAAGCATTGACAAGTAATTCAGATGTTCTGAAAGATACGTATTTGTCAGCATTAGACAATAAGAACCAAACCTTTACAAACAAGGCCTTCCCTTCATAATTTTAACAATGGATGAATATATTTGGTTCTGAGATATATATTTGGTTCAGTATAGACAGAACTGTTCAGAAGAACATGAACCTCATCTCTACTGATAACAAAACTGTAACCACATATCCTATTCTTCTTAGTAAGCCTTCCCAATCTGTCCAAGGAAGGACATTTAATCTTGTCCTGGTAAGGAGGAACATTTACTCCTGGTCCTCTTTCTAAAGTCTACCAGATATTTGAGGAGATAAAAGAAGGTGTAAAAGCTGTTAGTTTGGCAGGCCTTAATCCCAGTTTCCTGAAATTACATCTTGGTATCTTTAAGCCCTTGGAGCAATACTGCTTTAGTTCTATCAGATTCCTGAGCTAAAAGGAAGGAGACAGAGAATCTCAAGCTCATGACAGCCAGTTGCAGTTTCTATTTCCATGAGTTTGGGCCAATCTCTTCAAATGACCTCAAGACAGATTCTGAGATCATCTGAAAAAGTAAGTTTAACCAGAACAGCAGGGCTAATCTAAGAACTTCAGAACTGATTGTAATCATACCAAGTTCTAATTTTGTGGATGCAGGAACTACCAAAAGTCTACACAAAAAATATTTTGAGCTTTTTCTAATGAACCTAAAATGGTTGTGGCCCATAATGGATTTCCACATTACAATTTTGGCAAAAGCCAAGGGTGGGTGCAGTTCAAGGGTGGACTGCACCAAATTTCCCCCATTTGTACGAGAAAACCATAATAATCCATTTAATGTTTGACCACTTAAGAAGGTGCTTTACTGTACCTGTGAAGACTGTGCACCCGTACACTGGAAGACCACACCAAGGTACTTAACGGACACTTGCTCCAGTTTATTCTCATCAAATGATGAATTAAGATTTTTCTTTGACTTACCAAGCACCAAGAAAGAAACTATTTCTTACTATAATAACTCTATAATAGAAAACTCTGTAATAGAAACTATTTCTTTGTCACATTAAGTCTTTTTTGGAGGGTAAAAACTCTATTTTTTCTAATTAATATTAAGAATGGTCATTCACACAAAGGAGGATAGAATATATCTGACTACTCACTTTAACTGGGAAATATCAATCACTTCTCAAGAACTTTACTAAATCATTTATAATTTTTTTTATTTCTATGCCACCCCACAGCAGAAGCTCTTTGAGTGGTTTAAGTACAACGAAGTGGAGTAGGGTAAGTAAGCCCCTTGTCTTATTCCTTTTCTAACTGATGCAGAGGCACAGAAGTATTTTCCATCTATTCTTACTCGCCAAGATGCCGCAGTATACAATGATATTACACATTTTAAGAGCTATGGGTCAATGCCAATAGCATGTAATTTACTCCAGAAATGTTCACAAGGAATAGAATCAAAACCAGCTTTCAGATCAATAAAAGCTACATAAACATGTTTAACAATCCCAGACAGATATTTATCAATAATGTGTTTCAACATAAAACAATCTTCTAGAGTGGAGTGACCTGAACAAAAACCTGCCTGTTTTGTGGCAAGCAATGAATAATTCTTGACCTAATCCTCCAATTTTTGTAAAAGAAATCTGGCATAAATCTGGAACATCTAATAGTCTAATTGGCTGATAATTTGCCAGGTCATTCCTGCCCCCCTTTTTTTAATAAATGGGGAACAAAATGGCCAATCACCACCAGGGGGGCAAAAGCTCACTGCCATTGATTAAGGAAAACAAAGATGCAAATATTGAGTCCCACCAATCGGGGAATGTAATAAAAAAAAAAAACTGAAGGGAGATGATCTTCTCCAGGAGTGTCACTATTTTTAATTTTAAGATTAATCACTCAACCCTTTCTAATAAGGTATTCTCTCAGCAAAATTCTCCATTACATTAAATAGAAAACCCAGGGAATGAGCTAGGAGGGTTAGACCCATCAAAGGCCCTCTTAAAATAACCTTCCCATTCAGATTTGAGAATACGTCTTTCTAAAATGGGGGCTGATCTCTTTTCCATGCTTGCAAGTATACTCCAAAATTTACTTGGGTTCTTTTGCAGAAGTGCAAGACCTCGTTCCTTCCAATGATCTTCATATGTCCTTTTTCCCTCCTGATTAAGCTTTTGCAGTTTTTATGCATTTCATAAAACTAAAGGGAGATTATGGATTACAATACTAATAAGATAAGATCTGATTTTTTTCCCCATCTGTCTTTTTACATTTTTCCAATCCTCATCAAATCATACATTACTACTTTTGGTTTGATAGTTCATGGAATCTATGTATTGTTGGTGATAGTTAATGCATGTTTCTGGTGTGGAAAAACATTTTTACTCTTGTTCATCAGTGTCAGAACTCACCCACAGCAGTTGTGAACAGTACAACTGTAACATGACGAGTGTCACCCCTGATACCCTGACAGTGACAAAAGTAATTTTGCTGCCACACAAACATCTTTCAGGTCACTGATCAATTCATTCATTCTCATATCAACCTAGCCTTGCATTGTAATTTCTATTTTCAAATGGGGAACTTATGCTAAAAAATGTCAAATTAACACTTGTTGCATTATCCGAACACAAATCCAACTGCATTAATTGATCCAGTTTTGTCTGAAAAGCCTTAATTCATATCACAATAAAGAAGGCAGCAAAACATACAAAACATTTTGATTCACTATTTGCCTATACTGCTGGCATCTAACTAATATTAACAAAATTAGATATGTATAATAAATGTCTGAAACATCCCCATAAAGAATTTTTCCAGGGGACTCCTGCATTAAACAGTTAATGCTCTAAACCACAAAGAACTATATTTTATTTTAAATTCCACTGTGAAATATTTTTTATAGTCCACTTATGAAGTCCTGAAGTTGGGAAGTGTTAATAGAAGACAAACCTTAAACTATATGAAAGGCTACTGGATACTACTCTAATTAAATGCATGTGTAAATGTGAGCAAGTAACTGGTTTTGTATAATATAGGAAACACATGTTTTTGTTAACTAGTCCTGTAAAATACCAATGTTTTACAGTTTGCCAATATTAAGAATTGGTTACATTCAAAGGAAATGAATGAGGTGCTAAAGAAGATTGGTTTGTAATTTGAGCACTGATGACAGGACACTTGATTCTCCCCTGAGAGGATATGGTTAGCCTCTTGCTTCAGAGTTTGGAGCAAACATTTTCAACATTAAACAAGATGTGGAAAAAGAAACTATAAAAAAGGGAATGGCGAGGCCAGTGAAATTGCTCCAGCAGTAATCTAAAAAGCAATTGTCAATTTTATTAGTTTTTCATTCTCTGAATTTCCCTCATCAGTTTCATAACAAAAATAAAATAAGGTCCTAGAGTCAGACCAAAAGGCAAATATGTCTTGATTACAGGAACTCAGTTATAATGCACATTAAATCAAAATGATCCGATAGCCTCAACTGTCTCAATATTGTGCAATGCTTTTATTTTACTATTGGAACACCAACCTTATAGATGAAGAGATACAATAAACCTGAGGGCAAAATAAGTGAAACTCGTATATGCAGCAAAGTTATGCTTAGGATGCATGTCAATTATATACTTCACTCCAATCATTTTAAGTCAAAAAAGGTCAAAAATAATGAAACAAACAGAAATATGGCAATGCAATACCTGGTATCCAGGTAGAGATCTAACAGACTCCACAACTGCTAGAGAAGCCAGATGCTGAATAAATGGAATCCTTTGTCCCAGCTGGGATGATAAGGGAATTGTGATATGTAGAGTATATAAAGCCGCTCCCATGGGGCTCAGCCAGGTATTCCCACCACGACCTTAAAAAAAGGGAACAAACATTAAGCATTACTTGCATGTTATATTTTTCAGATGGAAAGACTGTTTTACCACATTTCTGAGAATGACTTCTGAAAGTTTCTAACAGAATTTCATTAAATGTTATAAAGTACTCATATTGTTTAATTTTGCCTTTAGAGAATAATATCCAATTTCGCAAATACAAAATTATAATCTGAAATATACTTGTTTATTCCATAGGTTGTAGTAATAAGAAAATGTACACAAGTCACTGACAACACATTAAATCCCTTGAGAATTTTAACCAGCACTGTGGTTCAAGTTCCTCAAGCACAGCAGGGCTTGTGTACCTCATCGTTCTCATAAACTACCCTGCACAAACAGTGCGGGGTTCAGATAACATACTAAACCATCATGGTTTAATGTATTGTGTTCCCAGTCTTTGTCTGTTCTGTCCAATAGACAGCACGATCAAATACAATAACAAACTGGTCAATGGATTTAAATGCTTTATCCTCAAGGATCACTTTTCCAATTTATCAAATTGAATCCCCATTAGTATTACACACCTCTATAATAAGAACCTCCATATTGTGATAAAGGGACACAAAAAAGAGATTATACCAAGAATACACAACTAGCAGCTTCTTTCAAAGAGAAAAACATAAGGGACATGCAGTAAGCAGTGCAACATACTTCCTCAACCAGAGTCTGCATTTTGCATATGTCAGGTCCTTTATTATAAAGGTCATTATTTCATTGTGAGCATTATTCACATCATGACCAAACAATGGGCTCTAAATGCCTTCCCAAGGGTTCTATTTGCCAGGTCTTACATATAGCTTTGCAACTCATAAACAAGCTTGAAAAAGCACACCTTAGGAGAGTAATTTGAATACACATTATTGCTACATTTTGCTGTCCAACTACAACCTGAATTTGGGAATTGATTTCTAGCTCTCTTATTTCACATATTTCCTGAAGAACAGTTCTCTTTGCAAATCAGGCAGATAAGCAAATAATTGCCAAATAGAATTCTTTTAGACATCATTGGCACCAGTGATTTTAGCCATGAAAAATGGTATTATCAGTACTCCATCTGGTTCATGGTACTTATCTGTCATAGGACCTTCCATATCTGGTGAAGAAAATGCAGGGTGAAAAGCAGTAACAAGCTGGGATGTTTTCTTACTAAAATGGTACAGCTCTTTTAGCTATTCAAAAGGACAGTTTAATTACATATATATGCTTCTTCCAGTGGTAATCTGTGAACTCACACATATGGATTGTGAGCTTCCACAAAACAGTAATTCAGAACATTCTAGACTTAAACAGGGATTCAGCAGGAGTCCCACCCACCTCTAAGTCTGACTTAGTGGACGTGAGGCATCAAAGGAGGGAGGAGAGTGAGCTGTGTGAGTTCACAGACGCATTCATGAAGAAACACAATTACAATCAACCTGTCCTCCTCCTTTATGGTTTTTGTGACTCACACATACAAATGACTGAAAAACAAGAGACTTAGTGGAGAAAGGAGATATACCCAAATTGTAGAGAGAACTGCCTTAGAAAGGCTGCATCCACCTGAATGCTAATGTCAAGACAATACTTTGATAAAGGAAGGATGGCTGAAGCTAAGCTGCAGCACTGCACAGCCATGGGAGTAGAATGTGTCCGAGAACAGAATCCTACGGCCCGCACTGAATGACACTGTATTTGTAGACGGTTCAGAAGTCATGTGAACTGGCAAGCGAGGAGTATTCTTTGGGCTAAATTGGACAGATGAACAGGCAAGGGGACACTCTGAACAATTAAGTTATTTTACTTTATTTGCATAAAATAAAATATGGCTCTTCTAATGTTTAAATAAAGAAGTTTGACCTTCAACTGGGAAGCAGGTTGTGGAAGGAAAGATGGTAGCACTAAGTATGAAGCTAATTTGAGAAGGAAGAAGCATCTGGGAGCTAGACTACCTTATCTTTATGGAATACAAGAGACAGCTGGTTTGCCAGAGAGATGCAAAAGTGATGGCAATTAGAAAGGCAACCATCATGGTCAGAAACCTTAGATTAGCTCCAGACATATGCATGAAGGGTCTTGCCATCAGCTGAGTTAGAACCACCAACATGCAGGAACATGTAGGAAGACTTGCGGATGGAAATTTGAAAGTCTTTTAAGAGAGGGATGCATGTACAGAGAGTAGCTCTCAATGATTAGCTGATAACTTATCAGCAGTTAACTGTTATCTGATTGACAGTGCAAGTAAATAAACCTTAATGGATGAAAGCACTTAAAACCTCAGTCTTCAAAGAAAGAAAGTCCAATATGTGAAGACCACAAGAGTCTGGATCCTGTCTCAGAGGGTCAAGAATATCTTCCATCTGCTAACCTATTAAATTTGAGTAGAAGTTGCAAGGAAGACAGTGACTGCCTCCAAGACTCTTTTTGGGTAATTGGCAATTGATCACTCTCCGCACAGTGAGAAATAGGATTTTCAGATCTGGGTGGCCATTTTTCCATTGTGGGCAGATCTAGATGATGAGAAGCATCAACGGTTGCTGGATAGTAGGAGCAGTGTCACAAAACGGTTGATTTGGCTTCCATTAGTCTATTAGGCTCCTTCATGGATCACTGCCTTGTTGTGGCGAAGGGGTTTCCATAGCACAATGAAGCTATGAGCTATACCGTGCAGGGCCACCCAAGATGGACAGGTCATAGCAGAGAGCTCTGACAAAATGTGATCCACTGGAGAAGGAAATGGCAACCCACTCCAGTGTCTTTGCCATGAAAACCCCATGGACAGTGTTGTTGTTCTTAGTTGTGAAGTCATCTCTGACCCATCGCGACCCCATGGACAACATTCCTCCAGGCCTTCCTGTCCTCCACCATCCCCCATACTCCACCGAAGCTCACACCAACTGCCCCAGTGACTCCATCTAGCCACCTCATCCTCTGCCGTCCCCTTCTTCTTTTGCCATCTATTGTTCTCAGCATTAGGCTCTCCTCCAGGGAGTTCTTCCTTCTCATTAGATGGCCAAAGTATTTGAGTTTCATTTTCAGTATCTGGCCTTCTAAAGAGCAGTCAGGGTTGATCTCCTCTAGGACTGACCGGTTTGATTGCATTGCGATCCAAGGGACACGCAGGAGTCTCCTCCAGCACCACAATTCAAAGGCCTCAAATCCTTCAGTGCTCAGCCTTCCTTATGGTCCAGCTTTCACAGCCATACATTGCAACTGGGAAAACCATAGCCTTGACTATATGCACTTTTGTTGGCAAGGTGATGTCTCTGCTTTTTAGTATGCTGTCTAGATTAGCCATAGCTTTCCTCCCCAGGAGCAAGCGTCTTTTAATTTCTTGGCTGCAGTCCCCGTCTATGGTGATCTGGGAGCCCAGGAAAATAAAATCTGTCACTACCTCCATTTCTTCCCCATCTATTTGCCAAGAAGTGAGAGGACCAGATGCCATGATCTTAGTTTTCTTAATGTTGAGTTTCAAGCCAACTTTTGCACTCTCCTCCTTCACCCGCATCAAGAGACTCTTTAGTTCCTCTTCACTTTCTGCCATGAGAGTGGTATCATCTGCATATCTGAGGTTGTTGATATTTCTCCCAGCAATCTTAATTCCAACTGGTGATTCATCTAGCCCCGGCCTTCTCATGATGAGCTCTGCATATAAGTTAAATAGGCAGGGCGACAGTATACAGCCTTGCCGAACTCCTTTCTCAATTTTGAACCAATCAGTGGTTCCGTGTCCAGTTCCCACTGTTGCTTCTTGACCTGCATATAGGTTTCTCAAGAGACAAATAAGATGGTCTGATACTCCCATCTCTTTAAGAACTTGCCACAATTTGTTGTGATCCACACAATCAAAGGCTTTAGCATAGTCAATGAAGCAGAAGTAGATGTTTTTCTGGAACTCCCTAGCTTTCTCCATGATCCAGCGTACGTTGGCAATTTGATCTCTAGTTCCTCTGCCTCTTCAAAACCCTGCCTGTACCTCTGGTAGTTCTCGGTCCACATACTGCTGGAGCCTAGCTTGTAGGATTTTGAGCATAACTTTGCTAGCATGTGAAATGAGAGCAATGGTGCGGTAGTTTGAACATTCTTTGGCATTGCTCTTCTTTGGGACTGAAATGTAAACTGACCTTTTCCAGTCCTGTGGCCACTGTTGAGTTTTCCAAATTTGCTGGCAGATTGAGTGCAGCATTTTACTGCCTCGTCTTTTAAGATTTTGAATAGCTCAGCTGGAATACTGTCACCTCCACTAGCTTTGTTGTTGCTCAGACTTCCTAAGGCCCATTTGACTTCACATTCCAGGATGTCTGGCTCGAGGTCAGTGACCACCCCATCGTGGTTATCAGGAACGTTAAGCTCTTTCTTGTATAGTTCTTCTGTGTAATCTTGCCACCTCTTCTTAATCTCCTCTGAGGTCCCTGCCATTTTGGTCCTTTATCATGCCCATCTTTGCATGAAATGTTCCCTTCATATCTCCAATTTTCTTGAAGAGATCTCTGGTCCTCCCTATTCTATTGTTTTCTTCTATTTCTTTGCACTGTTCATTTAAGAAGGCATTCTTATCTCTTCTAGCTATTCTCTGGAATTCTGCATTCAATTGGGTGTAGCTTTCTCTTTCTCCCTTGCCTTTCTCTTCCCTTCTTTCCTCAGCTATTTGTAAAGCTTCCTCAGACAGCCATTTTGCCTTCTTGCATTTCTTTTTCTTTGGGATGGTTTTAGTTGCTGCCTCTTGTACAATGTTGTGAACCTCCGTCCATAGTTCTTCAGGCACTCTGTCTATCAGATCTAATTCCTTAAATCTATTTATCACCTCTACTGTATATTCATCAGGGATATGATTTAGGTCATACCTGAGTGGCCTAGTGCTTTTCCCTACTTTCTTCAATTTAAGCCTAAATTTTGCAACAAGAAGCTCATGATCTGAGCCACAGTCAGCTCCTGGTCTAGTTTTTACTGACTGTATAGAGCTTCTCCATCTTCGGCTGCAGAGCACATAGTCAATCTGATTTCTGTTTTGACCGTTTGGTGATGTCCATGTGTACAGTCGTCTCTTGGGTTGTTGGAAAAGAGTGTTTGCTATGACCATCGTATTCTCTTGACAAAGTTCTACCAGCCTGTGCCCTGCTTCATTTTGTACTCCAAGGCCAAACTTGCCTGTTATTCCGGTTATCTTTTGGCTTCCTGCTTTAGCATTCCAATCCCCCAGGATGATAAGGACATCATTTTGGGGTGTTAATTCTAGAAGGTGTTGTAGGCCTTCATAGAACCGGTCAACTTCAGCCTCTTCAGCACCAGTGGCTGGGACATAGACTTGGACTATTGTGATGTTGAATGGTTTTCCTTGGATTCGAACTGAGATCATTCTGTCATTTTGGAGATTGTATCCCAGTGCTGCTTTTCCTACTCTTTTATTGACTATGAAGGCTACTCCATTTCTTCTGAGGGTTTCTTGCCCGCAGTAGTATACCTGATGGTCATCTGAATTAAATTCCCCCATTCCTGTCAATTTTAGTTCACTGACTCCTAAGATGTCGATGTTCAGTCTTGTCAGCTCTTGTTTGACCACATCCAGCTTGCCTTGATTCATGGATCTTACATCCCAGGTTCCTGTGGAGTATAGATCTTTGCAGCATCGGACTCTCCTTTCACCGCCAGATACATGGGCAACTGAGTGTCCTTTCGGCTTTGACCCAGTCGCTTTATTCTTTCTGGCGCTACTAGTACTAGCCTTCTGCTCTTCCCCAGTAGCATATTGGACACCTTCCGACCTGAGGGGCTCATCTTCCGGTGTCATATTTTTTTGCCTTTTGATTGGTTCAAAATTGAGAAAGGAGTTTGGCAAGGCTGGGAACAATAGCTGGCAAAAGAGGAAAGGCACGGCAGAGGATGAGGTGGCTGGATGGGGTCACTGGGGCAGTCGGCGTGAGCTTGGGTGGAGTACGGGGGATGGTGGAGGACAGGAAGGCCTGGAGGAATGTTGTCCATGGGGTCGCAATGGGTCAGACACGACTTCGTGACTAACAACAACAACAGTCTATTAGGGTGCAGTGGAACCTATTATCTTCCAGTTAGGTCATGTCTGTGATGAGAAGGAAAGACAAGTCAGAGTGCTTACTCATTGGAGGAGAAAGACATCACTCCGTGAATCTGGGTTGCATCCTGCCATACCAAAAAATAAAAAAATGCAGTTTGCATTCAAGGCTATGATGAAGAGATTGGTAGGGATTCCTCACATATCAGTGCAGCAAAGACTGTTAATGGGGATTGGCTCCCGAGAACACATTATACCAGTCTTCCACTTCCACTGGCTGCTGGTTCAAGTCTAGACCCAATTCAAAGTGTTTGTACTAACATTCAATACCTTAAATGGCTTGGTGCCAGGTTATCTGAAGGATCACCTCCTCCTATATATACCTACCTGGAACCTGAAGTCATCTTCAGGGGACCCTTCTCTGGCTACCACGGAGGTCCTTTTCAGTTGTGGCACTCCAGTTTTGGAATGAGTTTTTTAAAGAGGTGTGCCTGGCACCTACTTTGTATTATTTTTTGGGCTTGGGTACACATAAAAGGTGTGTATGAGCTTGGTTCAGAGGGTTGTTCAAAGTTGCCTTGATTTGGCATTGAGTTAGCAATTAGCACTGCCACTGTTCATGAAGGCCAAAGAACTGGTATTCCATTCCCATCTTTCAAATGGATCTTTTCATTTTATGGACATGATCTAATCTTGTGTGTGTAAACAAAGTAAAGAGGCCCTTAGCATTGAACAGAAGGTCCTCCACTTTTGAACTGGCTTCCTGGAGAAGCTCTGTCAGACAAAGCCAGGCATGATGGTGTATGCTGTGGCTGGCCATGTGGCAAACTGTTGATTTACTTTCCAGCAAACATATGATCTTGGCTTGAAAAAATATAGTCAGGTTCTTCATGTCTTGCAGGAGGCTGCTGAAGAAGTTTGCCATTTTTCTTCTGTCACACAGACAAACTGATTACTCACAGTGCTATGATGGAGTAGATTCTGTGCCTCAAGCAGTCGAATTTTCAACCTTCTGAATTACTGGGGGCAGAATGAGATTTTTATTTAGTCTTGGATTGGGATGGTGCGGCATTTATGGGTGCTCAAAGGATGAGTCTTCTTGAATCATGTAAAGGCTTTCTCTTTAAAAAAAATGTATTTATTTTTGCATGCAACAGAGAAGACAGAAAATTTTGCCTAAAACTTCTTGATGACATTCAAGAATGTTGGGAACAGAAGGATGATTACTAGGGAAGCCAAATCTGATTATACTCTTTTTTTGGTTCACAGTGTCTCTATGGCCAAGGCATGTAGCAGCTAGAGAAAACTTCCTGGAAGAAAACCAAGGGAGCCAGTCTCTTGGTATCTAGGAAATCTGTCCTTATATGCGGAACTATCCTAAGGAATGAGCTTGGTACAGTTGTGGGGAGAAATATGCCCTGGATTTGCCCTCTGATATTGACTTGATACACTGAAATGGTCAGGGGAATCATGATCCCATGACAGCTGCAGCTTTTCCAGAACTAGAATCAGTGCCTGAAGTGGAACCTATGACACCACTAGTAGTAAGGGTGTTTAGCTTTGGTGCAAGCACAGTTGTGAGCTCATCCTGATTTGATTCTTCAGGTGGTCTGTTCCTTTTTGCTCTTTGATCCTGGTCCCCAGGCCTTAATGAGATGTTTGTTTCATGACTTCTTAGTTTTCCCTTAACAGTCTTAGTTTCCAGTGGGGCTGCCAATTGCCTTGAAGTTTTTTTGTTTTTACTGTGATGAAGTGGTAAGGTAGATGAGAAAGAAGTGAACAGCTGAAGACACAAGCAGAGCATGTACAGAGAAGATGGGTGAGATTCCTGTCTAGAATTTAGCTCTGGAAAGTCTAATGCTGAATCACAGAAACGCTGAAGAATGATCAGTATGAATGAACAGAGTTATCTGTAGGTTGTAAATTTGTGTTGCTGACTCTAAATAAAATACCATCTCTCCACCAGCACCGAATTACATCAGCTTACCTCTGCCCTGAGTTTGGTGAACTGCAATTGCTATCAGACCTATTTCCTGTGACACCTTGTACATTAACCTGCAAATGATATATAAGAAAAAAATTTGTTAGAACAGTGTGTGACTTTCATAAAAGTATTGTAGAAGTTGTGTGTCACTGTTTCAGCTATTGGTCAAAAAGGCCACAGAAAAATGGAAAGGCAGACTTATAAAACATTTCTGAATGAAAGTATCAATCCTTTGATGATAGATGAGAAAGAATTAAGATTAAATACAAATAACTGTATTGCCTACACTTCTTTTTGAAGCGCTTACTCTCACTAAAGTGTGTCACTATCTTCCAGAAGTGACAACTGGCAATTCCAAACATTTGTTTCTACTTATAGCAAATTCATGGCTGTACTCCTGAATACAGCAACAGCAGCAGTTTCTGATTATTTAAAAAACCAGTATGGTGGCAATAAAGCAGTTTAAAAGAGACACTTATCCCTGGAGAACTAATTATGATTTAACTATGGTAAATAAGCCTACACCTTCTGAGAGCTCTAGAGAACATTGGCTTATTTTAGGGCTGTGTTCTGCTTTTAAAATTATTTCATTCTAAAGAATACAATTTCCCTTCTGGGGATAAATAGAAACTAATGTGTAATCAAATGGCACCAAATAAGTCAGTGTTGCTTTAAATAAATATTATTGTGGGAATATCCGTTAAGCTGTGTTGGTAATATGTGAACGGTGCTAAGGATTCCACCCCCCCATCTTATTTTTAAGTCTCAAAAGGAGGGGATGTAGAAAATAGATGGTATGTCATTAGACAGTTTGGTCGGGGCTTAAAGTAGGAAAAGGATGAAAGCCTGGAAACTCCATTTTCATGCAAAGATTTTGCACTTAATCTAATGAGAGTTCCATGCCACAAGCTGTAGTGGAGTAACTGGTATGCAAAATAACTGTTTCTGGACTTCAGAAAATTCAAGGACCCCTAGAACTAAGCTAGTGACACTGAGAAGCAAAGTTGTAAGCACAAGTGCACCCTCTACTGCTCACTGGAAATTAATGGCTGGTTCCAGTGGTTATCTAAGGTGCCTCCCAATTTACTTCTGCCTGGAATTGAAGAGTGATATTTTATAAATAGTTCTGTTAGATTTTAAAAAAGCATAAGGGATGCAGAACATTATCCAAAATGTTTTTGAACATCTCTCCATAACAGTTCAGTTGTTCATATAACTGTAAAGCATTAAGTTATTCCGAAGGCCAAAAAAAGGGCTGTTAGTAACTACAGATAGTTGAACCACAGAAGTGGTAATGTGATGGTTTCTCACTAATGCAAATATTCATTGAGAATCATTTTTCTAAGTAATGGCCAGAAGATCTCTTTGCCATTCCCACTTCCATTATACATTAAATATAGCTTGATAATTATTGCTCTTGGCCACCATGAATTGCTTATTGAGTCCATCTACCATCAACTATTGCTGTTAAAAGTATATTTGAGTTGTGCTGGAAGCTGGAAGAAAGATTTTGTGAAAAGTTCTTTGTATCCATTCAGGTTTAATATTGTCTTCTAGAAACTCCATAGGTTAGAGTCAAACACTGCTTCAGCTCCAATGCCACATTCATCTTACAAAAAAGGAAAGCTAATTTAAATGTGGAAATGGTGCTATGGACAGATTATAAATATAACTGAAGCAACTGGCAATTCCTCCTCCTTCTGTCTAGGCTCTACATAACAGGCAAGTCATATGTTATACATCTGAGAGAGAGAAAAAATCAGGGAAGGAAAGTTAGTTATGACCCCAAACACAGGACTGTGGAACAACGATGTGATTAAGGAAACATATGCATGGGGTTGTTAAGTGGTTTGGCTGGAGTTACTAATGACAAGACTGAGCCCCTGTGCTACTGAAGGCCAAGAGGAAATTCTGGAAGGAGGGATACAACATAAAGAAGTTGCTAATACCTAGACTGAGACTACTGGAGTCAGACAGATTTATTTATGCTATCTGAGATAACTCTAGGGGCATTAGAGCGCAGCTCTAAGACCATAATAAATTGCTTGTGAATTTTATAATTTTTTTCCTCTAGGTTTCAGAAAATAAAATTGAAAGTTTCTGTGATAGAAAGAAGCAATTGTAAACCATTTTACATTCTAAATTACCTTAGTCCTGCATCTGTATCAGTACAAAAAGGAAAACAAGAAAGATATAATCTTTTCCTGAACTAACCTTATCTGCCAAAGTAGAATGCAAGCTTTTGAGCCTCACAGGACTCTTATTCAGGCAGAAATGAAAAACAGAGAAAAGAATCTATGCTGGTATTTAAGCTTAGATTTAAGTGATCACATTAATGAATAATTATAATTATTTCATGTAGTTGATGTGTTAATACCAAGTTTTACCACACCCAAGACATGCTATTTATGGTTCAAACAATAAACTACATACATGTTGATGGTTCAATATGTAATAATAATACTATTTATCAAGCATCTAAGCACTGCACAAGAATAAAACAGGCTAAGACAAGATGCACATGGGAATGAGAGTGACACTAACTACAACCCTATTCAATTCCAGTACTTAACTTTTACTGTCAAAGTTCTTGCTTTGAAAACTTCATTTTTCAAAGCCCACACACAAGAAAACATTAGAAAATTATCATTATTATGTTATCCATACCACCATAGGAATTTCTGTTAAAGGGTATAAAAACTGTATTGTAGTAACATGATTACTACTACCCTGGTTGTTATTACTTCCACCCTCAAATGGGAGACTAATGTCTTTGATTTCCAAATGGTACTTCAGCTTAATGTCCAATTGCAATTTTACATCAAAATGTTGAATCATTAAACCTTAAACAGTCAAGGTAAAATAGTTAAACCCCAAAGAACTTCTGAAACAGTGTTCTGCAAGCCCATTAAGCATTTTATTTCACAAAAATGCTCAATATAGATTGAAAATAGTTAACCAAATTTCATCACATCCAAAGATGCTTAGTCTTCATAGCCAATGAATGACTATTACATCTATTTAAAACTGGAACTAAAACCATAGAAACTATGTTTGACTAATGTTAATGACCTGACATCCATAAATTTCATTGATGTTGTGGTTTTCAGACTGAAAATCTCATTAATGTACCCTGCTGTGTTATGGTATTGCAGAGAATTACAAAAAAGCAACATTACATTCCAGATGTTGAAAAACCTGGGGTGGGGGTCAGAATTCACTTTTATCATCTTTATTTTGGGCCATTTGAAAACTCTTCTCTTCATATGACTTTAAAAAGACCATGCTTCCATTTACAAGGCATGTCACAGGACTGCAACAATTTGCATCAAATATAGTATATTTCCTTTACTAAAATTTTTTAAAAAGTCATTCCAGTAATATTAATAGGGCCGACTTACATTAATGCTGCAATCTTAAACACACAATAAAAATAAGCTCCACTGAACACAAAGAGACTTACTTCTCAATAAAAATGCACAAGATTGCACTCTGCCATGAAATAGAGTATACCAGATCCCTAGTACAGTCTAATAATTCAAGTGTATCTGTGTGGAATGAGTTTCTCCTTACTACATCGGACTCTTAAAATTCTCCAATGCTCAGTACATGGTGATTGCTTCCTCATAAACTGACAAGTAGCACTACACATATTGCTAAGAGTCAGGAAATTTAAAATACTGTTAGCAGCCCAATAACAAGGACTAGATTTTCCATACTTCTAATATTGTGACAATTTCAAATGTGGGGTTAGCCTGACAAAAGGTTATGACTCTGCCTCAAAATGCATGTGCAAGTGAAGGACAAAACCAACAGACTCTTGTCAGTCAGTCACATTCATAACAGTACCCATTGTTTAGATACTGCCTCAACAGAAAGGAAGCCATGATTTAATAGAGATACTTACGGGACTTCTGGGTAATAGAAAATTATGCTATCTTGGACTATGGCTGAAAATAGGGTATCACAAAGGAGAAAGATTTCTTGATGCAGCTAGAATTATATCTGCACCATAGAATGCGTACTTCGTTCACAACTGAATATAAAGTAACATATGGGACTCATCTATGTACTGATAAGTTGCAAGATTTTAAAGGTAACCTTTATGTCTGTCATAGAAGTCAAGAATGCCTATCATGAAAGCTAGACATTAAATTTTCCTCCCAGTAGTGGTCAGAATTCTAGTGAAAAGCAAGGCAAAGGGCAGGGTATAGAAAGTTGTCACTTCATATACTTCATATACTTCAGTTAGCTTCGAATTGGGAAAGACAGGATTTGTAAGAGCAGTCTGCGGTGGAACAAAGCCAAAGGGAAGGCTTCATTCACACATGTTAACAATCCTCCATGTGCAATCCTTCCCACTCCTACCAAATTGTGCTCGCTGTGGAACATGTTGACATGTATTTCCAGGATGATGTGTTGCTTACTTGCAACTGTAGTTCTTCCTGTAGTCATCTATGTACTCACATATATGGATGCTATATGTCTGTCTGGAACAGTATTCAGAACATTCCAGTGCTAAGCAGAGCTTCTTGACAGGAACCTTGCCCCCTTCCTCTGCAAACATTCCAGGTATAGGTGCCACCTGCATCACTGTTTCAGATCTGCTGGAGCAGTGGGAAAAAACTGCAAGGCATCAAGCAGGGAGGAAAGGTGGGTTGTGTGAATGCACAGATGGCCACCCAAAGAACTACAGTTAAGGTAAGCAGTCTGTCCTCCTTCATGGACCCTGTCTCACATATATGGGTGATTACAAAGTTCAAGAGTTACTGGTGGAGGGAGAGGTCATGCAAGGATTGAAGAAAGAACAGACTTGAAAGAGGGATCATTTCAGGTTCTGCCATCTAAATGGCAGTGCTTGATGAAAGTGGATGGTTTAGCCCAAATGGCTATGATATGAGAGCCCTGGCTAGGGTGCTAGTAACTCCGGCTCGGTGAATGGTAATTGGAGTGACGGAGCAGTGGATGCACTAGTCCTAGAGGCTGAGTGGAAGGGTGAGGAACAAAAGTGATCATGTATCACCTTGTTTGTTGATACAGAAGATAACAGTGGCATTGTCCCTTACAATTT